TTATGATGATAATATTTCCAAATCCTGGTCACCAATAAGATAGTCTCTTCGGTAGTCACAAATTTAATTTGTGATATTATATTGATTTCATTGAGAGAACATATGATATGATATGTATTTCAAGAAAAAAAAATTAGACTGTGTATTACTCCGAAATTTATTATTTTTGTAATGTGATTAGCGATAGTTTTGATTTTAAACTTTTCGGTGGTCATATGCATTTTTTCGGTGGTAACAATTTGTGAGCTTTTTTATTTTTTAAAGAGTCTTTCATTAATTAAAAAAAAAACTTTGTATATAATTAAAAAAATAATAATTAAATTAACGCTTTTTTATTTATTGGACCACTGAAATTTCTTATTCGACATCGTACCAAAACGCATTCTTCTAAGTAACATATTAAAAGTCTCCTCGCATCCAAATCTCATTTTGAAACCTCTCAGAGGCTAATGATATTAGTCTGTAAACTTACTGGACGTGAAGCGGTGGTGTGACGTCACGGCACGTGTCGTGCACGAGTTCAGCTTCAATCCTGACGCGATACAATTTTTAAATCCGATAGATAGAAGAGCACTGCAACTAACTACCACAGTGCACTCATGAGCAGCATTCTACATTTATTATATTTACGAATATTCGATACTAGTATTATAAAGAGGTCTAACTTATAACTTTTTTATTTTCTCCGAACATATTTTAAACCATTAAGAAAGTTCAAATTAAAACGATAGGATTCTGAAACGTATTCCCTACATGTTAAACCATCAAAACATTCAGGTATTTAACCTTTTATAGCTCTTTTTTGCTCGGCGGGAGCTAATTTGGGGTGGGTGAAGTAGGAAGCTTGTAGGAGCACCGTCACACAATCACAACTTTTTATGAGTTTGTATTAGTAATAACCAGAGGTCGGAATTAGGTAGAGTTATTTATGTACTTGCATCGAAATTTTGATATTAATGTGAACCTTCCCGGGATTTCTAATGGACAATCTTGGACATCTTTGGACATCCGATGTCATTGATGTAAGTTTAGCAACGTCGTGCGTGCAGTAGTTTAAATTGTGTAAAAGTAAATAACCTTTTATTTAAAAGATCACGGGATTTTTACTGCTCTTTAAAATTAATCTCGGGATTTGAAGCATATCCACTTTATTCTTTCGCTGTATGAAATCAGTGTAAGTACATGAATAACTCTACCTAATTCCGACCACTGGTAATAACACAAAGTTTAAATACTAATATCATTGATTTACATAGTAACACATTCACTCTCAAATGCACAGCGGCTCGCACTAATCAAAATGGCGGGCCGCACGGACGATGAGCGGCTCGCAGGCCGCGCGTCGAAGGTACATACTATGCATGCATGCTACGTCTTCTATATTAAAGTAAAAACAAAGCCAAACATTAAAAAAATGTAATATTGAAATTGAAAATTATAACTCTTAGACGAAACTTTCGTTGAGTTGCACAAACGTTAATTAAATTGATTTAAGCTACATAAGGATAGATTTTACATTTTGATTGAGAATTCCCAACATTTCGACGCTGTTGCAAGCGCCATGATCACGGAGTTACTGAAGTTTTTGCTGGTGGGTTTTTGTCATAGACAAACAAGGTTTAATAATAATTTTTAGCTCTAACGAATATTCTAAATTTAAAAATGTATATCGATAATTTTAGTGGTCGTTTATGCAATAGGCAGTTAATATTGCATATGAATTATACTTCGTTTGATGATCCACTTCGGCAGTAATGTAAAAGGAGTAGTTGTGTGACATTTTGTAAATAAATACTCGGATCCTGAGTTGTTTTACTGGTAGATGTTGTCAGTCCCTGTGGACGCACGTGCCCGGGTCAGTTCCGTGTTCACTAGATCCACTTCGTTACAAACAGCATGCTCCACATCACACTAACACAAATATTGTATTGAGTTTTCAGGATTATTTTTCTACTAACTCTTATACGCTTAAATAAAACGAATTTTACTCAATCAAAAGTTAACTATTCTGCCTACATCCTTATAATGAATACACTTACTGTTTTCTTATTTAGTATGTGTTCATATTCTACATATATAAAATATATAACAAAAATATTAAAACATACATATATATATTTATATATATAACAATAAAAGCTATTAATATATAACAATATAATATAATTAGTTCCAATATGTTCTTAGATAAATTAGTTCCAATTCTGAATGACAGATGGCGCACTGCCATTATAAATCGCGATATGATCTTATTTCTTTATGATATATTTTTATGACTTTTAATATAAAGCTCTTTTACTCTTACCATAAAATAAATTATATGGCTAAACTGCAATCTTTCAATGAACACTCGCTCTAGACTAAGACTTGTTCAGTATGTGCTCATTATTCTCAATATATCAAAATAAAAGGTAAAAAAAGTTTATTGTTTTAAAAAGTAAAAAAAAAACTAATTTGAATTTATATTAAAACACCAACAACTTCAAATAAGGTCAATTGTCAAGCAGTTATCGACGAATAAGTTATTCAGATTGTAATGAGTTCTTCAAGGTTGTGTAATAGGTCCCATATTATTTATCACATATACCACGTAACTGATAGGTCACAATTAGCGTCGGCATCGTCTAGACATCAGACAGTGTACATTATAGTTCACTAGAATATGCATCGCGGTTAATTTGATCGGTGTGAGTTGCGGGTGTCGATATTTCTGTTGAATATGCATTGGTGATGCATCCAGCTGATGTGGCGATACAGCAAACTGTTTGTGCATTGACACGGAACTAAATATAGTTTGATACGAGCGATATGAATCACTGTGCATGAGATATTTGGATGGTTTAGCTCTAATATACCTGCGCTATGTCTATTTCAAAAAGAAGTTAACAATTTGACCTGTATAATTTCAATGGAATGTCGCAATATTCATATAAATAGTCTATGTCAGCTTCTGGTTTCAAAAGAGGAGTTCTTAAATGTCTATTGAAATTGCCATAACTTAAGCCACACAAAAATGGTGCCAGCAAAACTATATCTGTCTTTTATACACCACGTTATACCGCTTTTATTATCATATAATTAATATTGAAAGGTTACTGTAACTTTGCTTAATAACCGAACTATTATTAAAAAATAAACCTACGATATAATTTCTTATTATAATACACAAATGTAGGAGGTTGAGTGAGCATGTGGTGTGAATTAAAATTAATAAAAAAATATGTGTGTGTGTGTGTGTGTGTGTGTGTGTGCGTGTGTATATAAATACACGCAACACACATTTTTTATAACTTTCATTTGTTTCATGTTTCTTTTTATTTTATTTTTTAAACAATAGCTGTAGACTTTGTTTATTACTGTTTTATACAAAGAATATTATTTGCGTCTTACCAATCACCAATCTCCGTTCTAGCATTGAATAATGCATAAAATGACGAATTCATATTTTATTATTAATTCTCTTTTATTTCTTTCTATAACCTAATTTTACTGTATAAATCTAACAATCAAATTATTCCATGTGTTGTTTGCAGCTTCGATCCCTGCGGACACATCAAGAACTAATGTTACAATTTTTAATCCTACTACTAAGTGAAGTAGATGACCGCTGCAACTGTAAAGCTACAGATAATGTATAACTCCAATGTTGAAATAATATTCAAAATTTTGAAGATTTATCAAATATAATAATTAAATAAACTAGTTATATAATGGTTTATCCTCTCTACCTACCCGGCATGGGATACGGCGTGACGATATAGATATACAGAACATTCGTTATAGCTTAAATTTGTCAGTGTGTTGTTGATGAATGTTAATGAATTAAAAACGGGGGCAGCGGTCGGCATTAAGTCCGTCTGATGGCCGCCTGCGATGAATCTGCTAAGATAACGTCACACGGATATAAGACCATCAGTGGAACGGACCCTAAAAATTTTCTGGGTGATATTTCAAAAATTGTCAGCTTTATAATATTAGTAAGATAAAGGAAAATGTTCATTTTTCTATGGAACTTGGTCTAGTAAAGAAATGCTTCACGCTAGTAAGCATTTTCTGTAATATTATCTTGTATTGTTAAAATTTTTGATGACTAGCTGTTTTCCCGAGGCTTTGCCCGTGTAAATTATAGCCTACGTCACCCGCGTATTATGTTGCTTAGTAGATGGAATAATTGTTAAAATCGGTCCAATAGTTTCAGAGCTTCAATGCAAACAGTCAAATCTTTCATCTTCATAATATTAGTATGAAGAGACTTTAATGTTACAATCTGTAGATCCTTTCCAGTTACAATTAAAATCACTAAAATATAACACAGACAATGTTGAACATCTTCTTACTTTGTTTTAAGAGTGAGGCTCCGTGATTGTTCCACGAAACAAAACGTTGCAACCGCAAGATGTTTTTAATAAAAGCATGTTTTGTTGGAATCATTTTTCTTAAGAGTTACTTTGCTTTCTTATTATAATAGTCTCCAGTTCTCAAGATAATGTTGCTTTAATGCAAACAGTTAATAAATAATAATTGCAAGATTAAATAGAAGAAGGTGCTATTTTGTTTTAATAACTTAAAAATTTCACAGTTAAAGAAAGATTTGTCTTCTATCGATGAAAATGAGAAAAATAATAAGGGTTTTATTATCTTAGTCTTTGATATAATGGAAAACCGTTTGCCGGAATCAAAATTACCTAAATTTGATGAAGTTTGAGCAACAACATTGATGTAACTACTTACTAAACATATCAGTACAATAGTAAAGCATATTGTTGTATTCTAGCGAAACAAAGGCATAGTTGTTGCGTTACAAATTCAACGAATGAAATTATAATAAAAATGTACGGATGCATTTCTATGGCCCGTAAAAACGAAATACACATTTAATGCCACATGTAAACGTGAGGATCGACGTCGCCTACAAAGTTTACTGTTTCTTTACAACCTATTTTGTATACTATCGTTTGAAACTTTGGTGAAATACATTCTACGATTATGACCAGTCGAAAACATTATAATTACCTATTCTTATAATTTTCTGTATAATCTTCAATGTAACAAAGATCAAAAAAATAAATCTTGAAAAAAAGAAGATATAACTTATTTGAAAAAATATAATATGGTGGATTGTTATTCATTAATATCTCTAGTGATTATTATTTTTGCTCATGAGTTATTTGCTGAAACTGTTAAGAACTGTGAGTATAATCAATCTTTAGAATATATATTAATACTTTTTAACAGACGGTTGATACGCATAAATTTTTATTTAAATAACTTTGTACAAATCTAAGGATGACTTTCTACATACTGACCTATTTAAAATGGGAACTATATTTCCAAATTAATTTAAATTTCCAGCAGAGACTCCCAATATGGGTTCTAATAAAACTTTGAAGCTGATTGAGAAAATAAGACGACAACTTATGAAAGACAACTATGATTACCTGGAGTCAGAAGAAGATGCCACCACACCGACGGCAGTAGATAACCAACAATCGACTACCAAGCACCACGATCATCGTAATGATTCAATTAAAGTTTTTGGCCACCAAGGCAAAGCTGTGGCGCGACCAGAACAATATAATGGACGCATAGACGAACGTCACGATAGAATAAACCAAAATCTGGACGCTCTCAACATATTCCCCGACCAAAGTGATGACGAATTAGATAAGCTTCTCAACGAAAGTGATAAATATGCTGACATTACAGCTTTCAAACCGCCAGAGTTCAATAGTAAAGATTACCCTAACTATCCAGACTTACAAAGATCTACCAATCGAAATCAAAATCACATGAACGTGTCTCCTAATCGTGGACATAAATCAACGGACCTGATATCTAAACAAATAACTGGTTCAACTGCTAATCGAAACAACGGTGAATTAGACGCATTCGATCAAGGGGACGATCGTTCAGAAAGAAATAAATATCCCAAGCTGTCGGAAACTTACATTGAGTATGAATCATCTCCTGCAAAGACATACAATTTTCACAAACAAGCTTACGGTAAAAAAGATGCGATACCACGTATTGTAGACTCCTGGATACACAATTATGCGCCGATTAAGCACCGTGGCTTTAGTGTATCCCAACGAGACTTATTGTACTACATGGATGACAAGAGGATGCGCCGGAAAGGTGAAATGGACGGTTTCCCAGTAGAAAATGCAACCTCTGCTGAATCAGATGATTATATCCAAGATGTAACCAATGATACCACACCGACAGCCAAGTACAAGGTGATAAAAGTAAGTTCTAAGCAGGTGAAAGGTACAAAAGGTTATAGTAGTGTAAGTTGCAACAACACATTTATTGTTTAGACAAATACGGAAATATAAAACCAGTAGAGGTGACCAACACTGATACCAGTGTTTTGTCAAAACTCCATATCATAGAAATAAGACGAGTGCTGATAATATGAAATCTCTTAGTATATTTGTGTTTATCTTAGTAAGTGGGTGTAGGGAACCGATTATCAATGATGTCCCACAGGGTTTACTTCTGGGCCTGGAACTTTTCAATCTAAAAATACGTGATTTCCGTTATTAGTGAGCACCAATAACGTTTTTCTGTTGATTCACAGGTCAAAGGTGCTAAAGATAACCCGAGTCGACGGAATATGGCGATCCGACGTTTTGTGGAAGAGAAGAAAGATGACGAAGTCGCAATAATCCGACTGGATGATGGACCATTCCCTCAGTTCACACTGCCACGCTCGCGTCGACAGTATATGTATAGAGCAGACACGGGGCTTAACGGCACAATGACAGATTCCGACACCAGCTAATATTTATATTATTTCATAAAAGACTTCTATTAATTAATAAATGTTTCAGACTTTTTTATAACTCTTTATTGGATTATTATTATTAAACTGAGTTCAACACGTTCGGTCTGCGATTATTCAGTTGTTCGCTTCATAGTTATGAAGCAACTTTCGCAAGGGCCGGTCATAGAATGGGTGACCAAATATTAACTATCTCGAACTCCTCCGGAAGGCACTTTAAGCGACCAACGTGTCTTTTTATGGTCGTAAATACTGAAATCCCGAGGTGGGTCACGACTAGGCATGTGCGCCGATGCCGAAATAGACACCAGCTAATATTTATATTATTTCATAAAAGACTTCTATTAATTGATAAATGTTTCAGACTTTTTTATAACTCTTTATTGGATTATTATTATTAAACTGAGTTCAACACGTTCGGTCTGCGATTATTCAGTTGTTCGCTTCATAGTTATGAAGCAACTTTCGCAAGGGCCGGTCATAGAATGGGTGACCAAATATTAACTATCTCGAACTCCTCCGGAAGGCACTTTAAGCGACCAACGTGTCTTTTTATGGTCGTAAATACTGAAATCCCGAGGTGGGTCACGACTAGGCATGTGCGCCGATGCCGAAATCTTGGGCGGCGGCGTGGAGGTAAAAAATCAGCAGCGGCTTCGTAAATTGCAGCGTAAACGGTGTTGTTATGTCGAATGATGGAAAATAATAAGTTAATAGAATAAAATAGAATCATATATTATGATTGAACAGGGTAGAATGTACAAGATGACAAATAGTTGCAAAACTCTAGTAACACCTATTCAGCTGCAGTACATTAGCATACAAATCAAATAAGGCACAATAATACTATTCTAAATTATGTAACGTAGTCACAATGAAATTAAACAATAATTTAATCAACAATACATGCTTTCAAAGACATTTATATCTTTACATTCATTTTACATTTGTCATAATAGGTTGGAAAAACAGTTTCTTTGCATTTTATATAAACATTTAATACATTTTTTAATAAAGTTTATTTAGATTTAACTATTAAAGTATTTAGATACCATTTTGTTCGATAACTTTTTGCCATCATATAGGTAGTGACATGATCCCATTGCTATAGAGATTTTGGGGTTTCTAATAAAAAAACAGCAACAAGATGCGTGATGTTAACCGTGTGTTAACCTGACACTGTCTAAAGAATTTTGAAGAGACCGAAACAGGTAGAAAACTGAAGGTCCAAGGTCAGGATTATACGGCGATGCATTAACACCCCTCAGGCAAACTCTCTTAATTTTTGCTGAATGGCAAAAGATGTGTGAGGTCTATAACGTTATCATGATGAAAAACATTCTGGCCGCTTTCTCTCATTCCACCGCTTGTTTGCAGTACATTTCAGAATCGATGGTCCTGCCGGCGATAACAGCTCATAATGAATAATGCCATTCCAATCCCACCATACACACAACATCACCTTGTAGCGAGTTAATCCGCTTCGTTTACGCTGATCTTTCTAACCGGTCAGCGGCGGCGACTCATGATCGGCGGCGTCGATCATCGGCGCGGCGCACACTTCTAGTCACGACTCATTCTCCCTATTCGATTTATTCGATCCATACATAGACAACATTTAGTATTAGTTATTATATCTATACATTGTATGACTTCAGCTATGACTTCAGCAGAATACCAGTGTAATGGGTGATACCCATAGCTTAGACTGAGCTGAGGCCCGTTTTGACAGCATACATTGTTACACTTTTAGTTTTCTTTTGTGTTGTGTGTTGACAAAATAAATGCTTTATTATTAATATTATAGTATCTTCACGCTAGATCCCATGCTGGGCTGGTAGAGTACTATTTATTATTTACTGGCTGTTTTCCATCGATTTCGTCCGCGTTTACCCTATTTGTTTAGTCTTTGTCACCCGCATATGATATAGCTTCCTGCAGGCGAATAATTTTTTAAAATCCATCGAGTATAGTTTCGGAAGCTATTCAATCGAATCAAACGATCAAATCTTAAATCCTGTTTGACTTCATCTCCTTTTGAAATATTAAAGAACACATATGTATATTAATAATTTCTATACGAATGAAATTTCTTTTTACCACAAAACAAACCATAATTAAAATTATTTTATTGAGATAAGGATCCATTTAATTTATATTTATTGTCGTCGAAAAACTTACAGCTAGGTAATATTGTGTATAAATTTAAAGAAGGCCAATCTTATAATTTTTAGTCTTAATCAAAAGAAAAACCCAACGACTGCTAAAAACAACAAAATAAAAAGTATAATGGGTTAACATTTAGGATAAACGATTACTTTATAGGTCTTCGAATGTTTTTAATTGTTTTATATTTGAAGAAAAAAAAGTTCATCATGTCTAGAAAACTAAAACAATTTATTATTGAAATATAATTTACGTCTATCCAAAAATTAATAATATATATGTTAAATTACTGGTCCATTTACAGATTTATATCAAATAAATACAACCGTGAGCATTCTAAAACGTAAGCGGCGTTATTGCGACATATTCTCGCGACACATTCAAACGTTTTATCGCTCAGTTTATTGCACCTGCGATACACTGCGACGTTTCTCGTCAAACACACCAAAGTTTTTGATTGTTCCACTCTACGCTGTATACCAACAAGCATGAGTATCGTTTCATCAACTATTTTACTATTGGTGTCATTTATATTGTGCGAATCCGCTGTTTTTACTACTCAATATACCAAAAGCAAAGGTAGTTTTTTCACTTTTAACATATTGAAGAAATAGACTCGTAAACAAATCAATGCTACTCGAAAAATAAAACTGTGCATTCGTGTCTGAACTAACTTAAATTAAGATTCTGATTTACAATCGGTGAACATTTATTTTTATTACACATTACTCATAGGAATAGGAAATATTCTAAACATCGTGACGGTTTATTTGCTGTGTTTTTTTTTTGTGTGTTTCAGACCTCATCGATGTTCTTAAACACAAACTTCGTAAAAATAATGATGATTACATCGAACAGATGTTTACGAACACGACAAATGTTGAATTCGATAAGAACTTAAGCAATAATGTTACATTTGACTATAAGAACGTATTAAAATCATCAGTGAAAGATGAGAATTTAATACCAGATGGTATACGAAGATCGTTTAATAAAGTGGCTGGAGATTCCGTTGAGACGCAAAAGGCTATAACACCAACTGATGAACACGTACTCAAGGATTTTACAACATCACAATTAATTACTAAGACGATTAATGTGACCGTAAAAGTGACTAAAATCAGATCTGGCACCCAGTTTAATTTCAGAAGCAAAAATAAACATATGAATAAAGATAAAATGGATAGATTTAAGAAATTCATGTCTAAGAATAAGAATGCGTTTAGTGACTTCCTAAAGAAAAAGCAGCAAACGCAAGCGATAATGCCTAAGATAGCTGCATCGCCTCGACCAATATCACGCAATCAATCAATATCTAGGGTTGATGCCACGGTGGGAACATCTAGAACTGCGTTAGAGACCAGCACCAGGGACACCACAGTGCGTCCCCTAACATCCACCACGAAGTCTGTAATCGTTCAAGAAACAACGCCATTTACGTGGAAGACTAAAAAAGCAACGATTGGTGCACCTACAACACCGTAAGCAATTTGCTTTTATTTTTAATTAGGTATATTGTGATATCGTAGAAATGTATGTGATCATTGCTTATTGATAGATATTGTATACGTTTTAGATTCACTTTGCTATGACAATGAACCCTTAGGGTAAAAAACTCTTCCGAGGATTTCCATTTGTTTTCTCTCTTGCTGTTGTCAGAAACTTATCTGCCGACCTGTCACTTGGCTTGCCTCTATTTCTTGTGCCTTGAGGTCAGCGCCATTTTACAGATCTGATTATTCACCTGACGTCGTTGTATCTGGCCTAAGACATGGCAAGCCAAACACATGACAAGCCCACCTACATTTTCTTTGAAAAAATGTCGGATATTTTAGTCTCTGTTCGTATTTTTGTATTCTCCGTCTTATCTTTTTATTTGATTTCTAGTAAACTACATTTCATTCTACTTTCGATAAAGATGAAATTTTCTTTCTAATAATTCTGTAAAACATTCTTATGATCATTATGTTTTTTTCTCTCAGTTAATAATATCAAGTTATTCAGCTTGTTGTGTACTATTGGGGATTGGGCTTGTTGTGATGGATGTGAGGAATCGCCTGACTATGGAAAAAGTGTCGATGATAATTGATCTCTATAGAGAAATGTACGTATTTTTGTGTAGGTCTATTTCTTTTAGTCTCGTATGGAACTGGAATTATTTTCACCGTTTGTTAATGCCCTTAGCGTATTTCGTCGACCAGCAGCATGTATTTTTGCATTTTTTCGGCATATTTTGTTCTTATATTATCACTGTTTGGTACAGTAATATCTATTAGATATATAATATATATTATAATTTTTTAATGTTATTATAATGTCTGGTCTATTGCCTTTGATGGTTTTATCGGTTATAATATCGCGGTCTCATTATAATTTAGCCTGTTGTTTACTAAGAATATTGTTAGGTTTATACTTATAATATGGTTCTGCTTTATATAATGGTTTATGTTTTAGTGCTAGAAGTGTATGTATTTATTTGTTTGTATTTCTGTGTATTTCTTATTTGCTATAAATGGGCATTATTATTATTATTACTATGACTTAATTGGCTAGATGCTTCTGTGCGAGCGCAATAGCAAATTGTTTATGCACGAGTGAAAGAGAATAGAATAGAATAGAATATTCTTTATTGTTAACATTACACAAAGTTACATTTACAAATTTAAAACAGTTTTACAAAATAATGTAACAATTGGCCTTATCGCTTAAAGCGATTTCCTCCAGGCAACCATGGGATGTAAAGAGAGAAACAATTTACGGATACGGGGATGTAAATGTTATCAATTAGGTACATTAAAAAGAAAATATGTTCAAAGAATCTTAATTAAAAATAAAGAACAAAATATGTAGTGAACACATACATAATACAAATATATACGATAAATACGTAATATACATACACACATACATACAACTACACAGATAAACTTACATATGTACATAGGGGTGCGACCGCCTAACTCATGGTCGTAGCCGTAGTCGTAGCTATAACCTACGCTTTATAGGTTTTACACATGAATCTGTTGATATTGTTTTAAAATAATCATTTTTTATTATTTACATATTTAATCAATGCTGAATTATTAAAGTTAAACGAAATTTACAAAATGCCGAATTGACAAACAATGCTATTTCGAAAAGAAAAACAAACCAAAATGTTTGATAAAATATATAAATAAAAAAAAAACAATTTTAAAAGAATACAAACAGATTCATAAGAACTATCGATAAAGCGTAGGTTATAGGTACGACTACGGCTACGTCCATGAGTTAGGCGGTCGCGCCCCTGGAATAGTTATACTCGGCAGTAGCAAGATATTTCATTGTGAAAGGTAGAATTCCTTTACGCTATTTTTAAAAATTTGCAATGATTTCGCTCGCTTTATCGAAACTGAAAGGGAATTCCAGAGACGAGTAGCTTGTACAGTGAAAGAAGAATCGTAAAAACAAGTACAGTGAGAATTAGTGACGGGTTATTGTATGAAATTCTTTTGGTTGGGCAACCGTGCAATAGCAGGAATTTTCGAAAATGGCCCTTATTACTACGTAAGCCTTAACTGTCACAGATACCTTACGTATTGTTGTGTTGTAGGAGTAGCGATAGTTCATCTAAAGAGAGCCGACCTCACATGCGGGCTCACATTTTACGCGCCAACGATGACGATGTGTCGATCAACCCTGAGGAACTGGACATGGCGCCTGCCAGAGGGCGCAAGGTGCACATCATGAGAATGAAGGTACATTATGTTTATTAAATAGTAACTGCTGCTGAGGGCTTTGATTCGCTCTTTTCGATACTCCCCAGGTATCCTCTGTTTGTTTCCCCGTGCCGCCGGAAAAATACACACAACTATAAATACCAGCTGTTGTCCCGCAGCTTCGCACCCGTAAGTTATAGCCTATGTCTATTCTGTAATGAAGCCTGTAGGTGAAGAATTTTTTTAAATCGGTCCTGTAGTTTACGGGCCTATTCGATGCAAACAAACAAACAATCAAACCTTTCATTTTTATAATATTAGTATAGATATAGATAGTATAAAACATCTGTAAGACATATACACATCTCTTAGGAATATTAAAAAAGAACTTAATATAAAATAAAACATACATAATTAAAACTGTTTATAGTAAATTATTTATTATTATTGTGTTTTCTTACATTTTATTGATTTTATTGTAATCACTCGCTTTTTTATAGTAATGTAGTAATGCATAAATATCTTTCTGATCACGTTTAAAAATTCTAAGAAATACTTTTTGGATTAAACTTGAGCACTCTTTCTATTTGTCAATTTTAGTTTTCAGTCTTTTCATTTGTCAATTTTAATTAAGTTACTGTTCGTCAACAATTGTTATTTTACATCTCTATTTGATGCCAAAATAAATTAAAAAAAGGATAAATATACACTTTGAAATAATCCAAGTAAACACGTGGACCGGTTGCGAGTTTTCTACCACTTAAAGGATTGTTTTTAGGAAAAAATCAGGCTTTGATTACATCTTCCAGTGCCTATGTCTTTTACAGAATCGCTTGTGCCAACGCAACGTGATGCTACCGGAGGGTCCGAAGTACGACAGCAAAGGTAACATGTACCTGGGCGCGTTCACTCACAAGTACGGCCGGGACTACAGCCGGACGCGACCACCGGTCCTGGTGCTGCCCAGGTGCTGCAACTGCTGCAAGAAGTCGGTGCTCGGCTGCGAGTAGATCGTAACGCAATCAGCTTTCTTTACGTCAAGGACGAGCTTTAGGCACTACGTTACAATTACCTTTAATATTTTATAGACGATTGCAAAGTTTCAGCTATTATAAGTTGGACAAATTTCAATCAAGGTTTAATTACTGGCATCCATTAGAATAAATCTTATAAGATAACATAACATAACTCAAATTTCAAGACGAGTAGCTAACGCCTTAGTATGGAGTATCTGAGACAACGAACACAACACCCAGTCGATTAAAAAAGTCCATATTCTACATTGATCCGACCGGGAATCGACACAAGGACAGCTTTATTGTTTTACCTTGACTTTGTGCAACTCAAGGTTAAGGTACTTGTGCACCCAAAAGCACAACAGGTTATCAAACATATATCTACAATTTAACCATCAAAATTTTAGATATGCGTATTTATCATTCTTCCTACCTTTAGATTCTGGATAATTTAGAGTTTTATATTATCTGTAGGCTTACTCTAGAACTCGATATCAATTTCAATCCGATTGAATAACCATCTATTTTTTATCAAATCTTAGCTCGTTTTTTTTAAACATACACTCAATGTCAATTAGTTCCTTCAATAACCACGGAGTATTGAACCAACAATAGCAATAGCACACAATCGTGATTGCGATCAAGAGTAAACATGGTGATGTGTTGATTATTATTTGAAGAAATCTACATGAATAAAATTATTGTTCAAATCAGCCCCACGGTGGGCGCCAATTTTAATTATAATAAATTTATTAGTTCCTTCAATAACCACGGAGTATTGAACCAACAATAGCAATAGCATACAATCGTGATTGCGATCAAGAGTAAACATGGTGATGTGTTGATTATTATTTGAAGAAATCTACATGAATAAAATTATTGTTCAAATCAATTCAAGCCCCACGGTGGGCGCCAATTTTAATTATAATAAATTTATTGAGCCCACAAGTAACGCATTTAAAACAGGTATTTTAATGATATTTTAAATATCGAGGCTTATTTATACTTCGTGTCTGTATTTTTTTACAATTTGGCAATACATATTAAATAATAGCTGAATTTACTAAGAACTATTCACTTAAATAAAACAATTATTTTACAAACAGTAATTTAATAAAATATCTGCAACATCCAACGATACGTATATTTTAATAAAATAATAATATAATATGAATTTAAATTCTTTGATTCACATAACGCTTCTCTTCACACGATTACCCACGGTTTTCTGAAATGAAAGACCAATATTCAGAATAAACTGGTGATTCCATTTTTTAATAGAAATATGTTTATTTGGGTATAGATAACGATGGTTTGCCCATTTTAAGATTCCGTACATCAAGATGAAAAAACAGACCTTACCAGTTGTGTGTCTGTCTGTCCGTCAATCTGACAATACTGATTAACTCCGAAACTAAAGGTCATTTTTTTCTCAAAATCGACAATATATCCCAAACCTCGTAGCTCGGTGGCGATCATTATTCTTAAGCAACTTACGCAAGGGACCGACCCTTGCGTAAGTTGCTTAAGAAATACCTAAACCACAGGATGGGTGATCAAAAAAATATTATACAAAATATAATTATATCTCGAGCTACTCTGTGCTTCGGAGGGCACGTTAAGCCGTTGGTCCCGACTGCTCTGCACCTACCAATACTCACAAGGCCCGCGTGGTGGGTCATGGCCCCTTGTCCCTATTCGATTCAATTCCATCCTGAAGGCTTAAGCCCCAGCAGTGGAAACATTAATAGTTGTTATGGTAATGATCAAAATTGAAATCCAAAATGGCCGGCCTAAAACTGCACAGCCGTTCAGTGGCGTATCTATACCATTTGAAGCCGTGGCGAATTTATCGGATTTTCAATTTTTTTTTTACTAATTGCGTAATAATAAATGTAGGAGTAAAGAGTCTCCTCTGACCGGGGGGCCCTTCCAGCTGGGGGCCCGACATTTTGTCACCTTGTAGTAACGCCACTGATAGCGGTACGCTTTTTAATGTGGCAGTATTTAAAAATATATATTAGTTCCCGAAATCAAACTAGATGTACGCTAATATTCTATTTGTACTTTTTCGTATTTGTATTGATATCTAGATTTCGAACTTTTGAAATTTCATATTTTTAATATGTTACTTATAAGAAACGGAAATCACTGTCTTTGGTCCATTCGTTTCTTGCAAAAATCAACTTTTGCTAGAGTCGCCATCTAGTGGAGGTGCTTTTTAGTGCCTTCGTTTTTTTTTAAATACTTCCCTTATTATAGAACATTTGAATAGAATGAAAAAATCGTATGTTAAATTCATTGCTGTTATAAAATTCACATTCACAAGTAAAGAAAAACCGATAACATTCAAATTAGCACAACGGCCAGTTGTGCAATAGTCGTGATTTTTCAAATTAACAAATAATTTTCAATACAATTTTGGTTTTAATTAATAGTGCACAGTGAGTAACATCCAAAAAATTTGTGTACAAAATATTTGTTTCAAATATATTGAACCGGGACTTCGTTTTCATTAAATTTCGGTCAACATTTTTTTAGTATAGTTACAAACAATGAAAGATCTCTTAACTCTTTTTCATTGGTCGATATACAGCACGCGGGAAACCCCTGAAAGCGGAATAACGACTTGAGAGTAGTTGGGTTATTCCGTGCATATAATAATACTGAAAATCGAATCTTAAACGTTACGTTACAAGCAAATGCTCGAGGAGCAAATATTTAAAGTAATGCTCAAAATTGGATCTGAAATGTTACATTACAGGCAAATGCTCGAGGCAGGGAGGTAGTTTAATGTTATAATGTAATACTCAAAAATATTTTAATGTAATGCTAGATAGCATTGCAAATAAATTAGCCTGTCTCCCAAATTAGATTCCTATTTATTTCAGGCGTGCTCTCTATTATTAATATATTTTAGCTTATTTATATTATAATGTGAAATTAAATAAAAAAAGAACGAGAAATGCTCAAAATCTGAAATGCTACATGATCGAATGTAGCAAATGCTCGAATTGGGGGAGCACTATTACAAAAATCTACAAAATGCGGGCCCGAACTCTAGAAATATGCGTTATTACAGTAGTAAAATGTGGTTGCATTTTGCAATACTCACTTCATGCTTATGTACTGACGTAACCTGAAAAGTAAATGAAAATATATTTACAAACCCGAAACAGCTTTAAGTACAAAAAAGATCTTACGTCTTATATTATGAAACAAACCTACCGCACGTGCACAAATTTGTACAAATGGTAGCAAATCTTACAAATACACCACTCTATACATGTACTCCACGGAGCATCTTCAAGAGTTTACAGTCTATAACACCTTACAGTCAATTAATTACCAAAAATATAGAACGCTGCAACTAAAAATACTTACCTTTTGTCATTATTGCCACCCAACACCGTCCACTCGCGGCGACCATTTATCGGTCCAAACAACTGCAAAGGATTCTGATATCTCGGAGACACATATACATGCACGCACGGATTCCCCACATCTGAAGATGAGTGACCAAAGTTTTCGTTGATGGTCAATTTTCCACTTTTTCCAGTATACAATTCAAAATCACAATCATCATTGAAGTCTCTTAGACCTGCCACGTTACTGAGGGCGTGCATTTGCTTTATCTGATCATTCGGACTCTCTACATTCTCCAAAACATCCCATACGTTGTTAATTTCATCATTTTCTAAATGTTCTCTTTTTCCCGCAAGGCCACCTTTTCTTTCATTGACTTCTACATAATCACCTTCAATACCTTCTCCTCCGACTGCAAACTTAGTATTCTGTGACAAATGATCATGCTCCTCATGGTTGCCCATATCCAGTTTAGGAAATTTCCCTACATAGGCATCATGTAACAGTAAATTCAGTATTGATTTCGGATAATCAATTGACCAGTCGTCTTTCGTATGAAACAAATCATCTTGTCGAGTGTTGCCAACTTTACCTATATTTCCGAATAGATCTCCCTGAATACCAGCACCCAAATTACCGTAGACTCCCTCATTCCCTCTGATTCCGAAGTCACTCACATATTTGCTTTTCTCTTCGACATCCAAGTTACCAGTGTAGCCGTCAAGATTCCCCAATTTCTTACTAATTTCGTGCAAAGTAAAAGTATTACCGTCAATATTTCTTTCTGGTTGCTTTTCAAAGTGGTTCTCTTTCATAGACGACCCTATGGCTGAACCGAGTTGTGAATTAAGGAAACATAAACTTCTGAGAAAGTTGATATAATTAGGCAGATCTCGTACCGGAGCTGATCTTTGAAGGAACTCCTCGCATCCATTGAGGTATTCTTTCGCGCTGCTCGTCAAATGTGAGAACGGTCTCTCTACAATTCTTGGAACAATCGCGCGGTCGAACCGGCTCAGATCTTTTTTAACAGTTTTCTTATTAGGTAATTGTGTTAAGGTACTTGCGACGTCATCGAGGACGAAGGCATCTGAAGGAATGTAGCTGTAGGGCCCATCGTCATCTAGCGACACCTGAAAACGTTCAATGTCGCTTTGTGTATATGAAATGCCGTGCTAATCATTATACTTTAAAGATATTATAGCTCTAAATATTTCAATTTACCATTATCAATTGAAAACAATACCTTATCTTGAGATAAATACGCATTTTCCAATGGAGTAGCTATGACACCACATATCTAGAAAATAATAAATAATTTGTGTCTATTAATTGATCACATTATATTATTTCGAACTTATGCTGGAATATTTTAAGTATAAAAGGTACCTTTAGTAATATATTTTGTCCTACAACACCCACTCGTTCATGGTTGATTAAACACTCATCATATTCTAGTACAAAACAGTTTAAAATTGTTTCTATGAAATTCCATAATTCCCGAATTATTCTTCGAATTGATTAAGAGTATTTTTTTAAAATCTTTCTATAAAAAAAAATATTCACCCAATCCTATTCGTAACGAATGAGTGTCCAACTGAGTCTGTGTTGCAATGAAAAAAAAACTGATTTTGGATTTTTTTAGTACAAAAACGTAGCACAAAATACAGTGCTTAATAGTTTGCCAATGCGCAGCAGTTATGTAAGGACGCGGCTTGAGTAGGGGCCTAATTATCTAATTTTAAGATCCATCTCAATCCCTTTTAATTTGACATTTGAAAAGTGTGAATGATTTAATGATGAAAGCCCTTGAGAAATGTCTAACGAAAGATGTGAATGCTAACTGCAATCTTTTATCTGGTTTAACGAAATTTATTTATGTTTTTTTATCATTCAAACCATCATTCGATCCAAAAGCAATCGCAACTTCATAAGTAACATAATTTCATAAACCCCTATCACAATCACGAAACCTTTTGATTGCAACACATTTAAAATTAGACAATTGGCCCGCAGGACCGTGCCTCTTACCCAATTTTTTACGTAAAATAAAATATACGCCAACATTTTGTCAACAATTTTAGCGGTGTTAGATTGTAAAAAGAAATATTTTTATAATCTCTTAATATTTACCAGCCACAGTAAGTTGACCGGGAGATCCATGTCAGCTCGTCGCGAGCGAAAATCAAAAAATGTTTTCGAATACCTATCAATTTGACGCGCTTACAATCAGATACTTCAAGATTCACGGCGTAAATCAATTGATTTTCTATCAACTCCATTATATATGCTTTGTTTATAATTAAAAATAGATATAGTTTCTTCTCTATTCGCACATAAACACTCAATTAGTGGTGACAACTATAGATAAATCGGAAATTCTTGTTTAAATATTTAAAAAAAAAAAATTGTTAATAAAATTTTAAAACAAATCAAATTCTTGTTTACAATAACAACTGGTTAGAAAAATATACAGATCATTACCAGAATAAAAGAACATTACTTGGGAATGGCGCAAATTTTTAAATACCTGAAAATAAATACTACCGACTGAGGTACCAAAGGAAACCTTAAAATAATTGTATTCCAGAAAATCCCGGAAGTTTTTTTTTCCCGTGTGGTCCCTAGTAGTAGTAGTTTCGTCCATTGGACAGACGAAGGAACTAAGCCATACAGCCAAATCACGCATGGTCCCAAGTATTCTTTTTATTTGTATAACGATTCATATTATGACACGGGTATAACTACAGAGACAAATTGAATAATAACAGTGTACTTCTTCTTTTTTTTAAATTAATGGCTTATCTGCGCATTTCGCACAATTCTGCCAATGTCAAGTAAATAAATTAATTTTTACATGTAAAATAAAAATGAAATGAATGAAAGATGGCGATGATTTCATAACAATGTATATTCCTCTCCAATTGCTAATGCGCTTTGGCGCCATTTTGGTGACGTATTGCATAAAAATGAGTATCATTAACAAATATACACTGGTGGACGAGTACTCTTATTGAAGTGGGGTTGTGTTGAGTACACAATTTTCGTTATGGTTTTGTTGTTTTTGATTAAATATTATTAATTAAAACAAAAAATTCCAGCAATATTATATATACTTTATTAACACTAAGAGGTTTACATTAGACTTATCAGACGTAATCAAAGAGTAGCGTCGACGGCACCGACCATTCATTCGCTCACTCACTCAATCTCTCATTCAACTCTTATTGTCATTCATTCTAAATTACACTCCCTTCGGCGGCAAACCTATACAGTACAATAATTTACAAAGACGGCCCTTGGCCGCGAGGAATAGCCGCGACAAATATCATGTGTATAAATTATCGATACAAACTATTTAGAATGTATATAACATCGGCAACAAGTATAACATATCCTTGACACCATATTACTCTCTCGTCGAGTAGGAAAATTTATAGAAAAATTCATTACAAAAAAATATGTAAATATACCTAACAGGGACCGAAATAAACACAGCTAATAACGTTGTCATAACATGGATACGCCTACTATATCGGAAATCGGTAGAATATTTTCTTTTTGAGTAATAATAACTACTATGATTTTGTGAAACAGGTTTTGTATTCGCTAATAACGTTGTCATAACATGGATACGCCTACTATATCGGAAACCGATAGAATATTTTTTTGTAACATGGATACGCCTACTATATCAGAAACTGATGGATACGCCTAACAATATCGGAATTTTTTTTTTTTGAGTAATAATAACTAGTACGATTTTGTGAAACAGGTTCTACGTCGTCTACTAGTTTACCCAAAACCCGGCTTTAATATTATGCACGCACGTTAAAGCTCTGTAGCTGTACTTACTTCGATCACTGCTTCTCATACAGATTCATAGTAACGTTTACAGCAAATGAACTACTTCATTTGATAAAACATCTTTTCAACCGGTGTATAACCTATACATTATACGCCTCCAATCCCTTTCAAAAGCAGTTTCATTAAATGAAATCGCTTTGTTACATTTTTGCTACAAGTTGGCAACGTAAAGCGTATACACATTATAATTTATTCACAGATACAATCTGCTACAAACAAGTTTAGACATGTGCACACATGTTTGTCATATATAAAGTGTATTTGATAACAGAATCATTTAATTATAAAGTCTTTCAAATAGTCTTTCATGTGAGTAAATAATATTCATAATGGATAATTAACTATGATATTTAACCTAATCCAGGGTTCTCACATTTACTACAATCCAGCCCTTTAAAAAGGTATACACAAAGAATTCTGTCAAGAACTGTATAATTATAAAACAAAGTTAACTATAACCTGTATGTTAAATAATCTGTCGGTACTGTTTATTGTTGAGAACTTATAACATTTAATAATAAATCGCTCACTTTTAGTAATACAGAAAAAACTGAATGATAGTCCCACAAAACTTACAATGTACAGTAAGATACAACTAATATGGCTCCTTGATGTACCTGCGCAGAACTGTCGGCCTATCAGAATGATTCAAGTATCGCGGCATCGAACAGGTGTCTATTCATTGTATTTTACACCTTATAGTTGTTAAAAAAAGATTCATTATAATTTTTAATCTTACGATCAGTTTCATCAGAACAGGTAGATCTGTCCATGCGCCCTATTAGAAAAAACTTACTGGTAAACGGTTAAAATATTGGATGAAGTTACGCCGTAGCGAGTGATATGCGTCGTAGCTATCGTAGTAGCGATGTGTGCTACGATTCCAAGCAATACAGTTTGCATGTTTGAGGCGGGCGTAATAGCAAGTATCTCAATTATTAAAGTTGATAACGTTCTTAGGACTGTTAATATCTTTTGAAAATATTCTGTAATGCATTTACAAATTTTGGGAAAAATGTACAATCGCCAAAAAAGATGCCTAAATACCAATAAATAATTCTTTATTTCCAAACGATTCTATTTATTATTGTGATTAAAGTAGTTTATTTTTACAAATATATGTTTCAATGATTTTTTTAAATTCCGTATGCTTGGACTTGAGGTGTTTCGGTCATTTCTTTTAGTCTAATTATAATTCAGATTTGTGTTGTATACTCATATTTTGCTAACATCTTCTCAGTTCAAGATCTCTCGTCGTAAATTTGCAAAACGACACACGTCTTTAACAGCCTAGACTGAATACTTTGAGTTCGTAGTTTGAAGTACCGAGTGGCGTAACTGCGTTTATTGGTATCGCGTTAGAGTATAACGTAGCTGAGGAAAAATAGGCTTAGAAAATTATCGTTAACCGCTTATTTTTCGATTTAATTTTTTATATTATGTTAAACAATACAGTAAACAATTATTATTTAGTTTAGGTTAGAAATGTTCAAAGTCATGTCCTCAGCAAGTTCGATCACTCCAACAGTATCGCGTTATGTCCGTGTGTGTTATAATTGCGAGTGTGTGCGCGGTCACTTGTTATGTAACCCGGCGCGCTTCGCCTCCAATTCGTATATGAGTAGACGCCACATTTTCACTACGAACACTTCCGCTTCCTCGTCTAGTACCTGACGAAAGAAAGATTTATTATAGATAATAACACTAAGTATATTATTTTTTTACATTTGAATTTTTTTATTTAGGCTCTCTTTCACACGCACACTCTTTCCTCGCTCTCTTACACTGCCTTTACGTATTTTAAACATAGCAAAAAAAAACCGCATTTTGTATACAAAGGATTTTAATGCAACTTTGGTCCGCCCAAAAAATTTTAATGTAAAAATACATAAACTTCTTGTTTCCCTAACAGTCAATGAATTAGCAAATTTGGAATTTAGCGATAACATAAACCAAAGACAACATTACGTGAACTGTCAGTTGCATTTTATTATGACAAATCACTAGTATCACAAATTTTGCGACTCTTTTATAAAAATAATTAATTATTGTTGATAAAATATATTCCCGACGAAGACAAATCCAAAAACACAAGTATCATAAAAAAAAACACAGTCCAGCCCTTGTCGAGTTATAAATGGTGTAAACTAACACGACTTTCTTTTATATATCGACTCCGGAAAGCAAACACGTAGTAACCTGCAAAACCAAAATGAATATTCAAAGGGGAAAATCTTTATATTTTTACAACAAAGAAAAATCTTATTTCCGTATAAATTGACTAAGGAACACCTTATTTGTTACCATGGACGTTTATAGGAATTATTTATCGATAAAAATAAAAGCTTTTCTTCTCTGAAGAGCTATTTTGGTTTTGCGGGTAACTACGCGTTTGCTTTCCAGCGTCGATATTTATATATATATATATATATATATACGAGGGTCAAACTGAAAGTTCTTAGAACTGGCCACTTATAAACAATATAATAAAAAAATAATTCTAAAATTTGAAAATATAACTCTTTGCCAATATTACTGAGTATATATTTCATTCATTTGTCATTTGTTTTACGATTTGGCGGCAAATTGAAAATTGTCTGTGTCACGTCATCATGAATTTAACACGAGAAAATTTTCGTGCAATGATTTTTTATGACTTTCGATGTCATTTAAGTCAACAAGAAAGTTATGATAGACTACGATTGGCCTTTCACGATGAAGCCCCATCTCGTGCGACTGTTTACAACTGGTTTAATGAGTTTAAACGTGGTCGCACTAATCTCACTGATGATTTACGTGAGGGACGGCCTTCTACGGCGACGACTGAAGATAACATCTGTGTTGTGCGGCGTATGATAGAGACTGACAAAAGAGTGACCTATCAACAGATTCGGACAAGCTTAGGCATCGGTATGAGTCAAGTGCACAAAATCCTCCACGAACATTTAGCGGTCAGGAAGCTTTGCGCCCGGTGGATACATCATAATTTGACTGAGGCTCAAAAACTCCATCGTGTGGATTGGTGTCGTAAAATGATTGAAAGATTTAACGGAGGTGACTCAAATGCTGTGTTCGACATACTAACAGGTGACGAAAGCTGGATTTACTGTTATGATCCTAAAACCAAAAGACAATCTGCTCAGTGGGTGTTTCCTTTCGAGGAGTTGCCAACTAAAGTGAAGAGAGATCGAAGTGCGGGAAAAAAAATGGTGGCCTCGTTCTTTGGAAGGATAGGTCATTTTGCAACAATTGTGTTAGAGGATCAAAAAACAGTTTCTGCAGAATGGTACACTACCAATTGTTTGCCACTTGTCTTGGAAAAAGTTCGAGAGAAACGACCTCGCAGTAGGATCCTCCTTCACCGCGACAACGCCTCGTCGCACACCGCCAAGCGAACGATCGACTATTTGGCGACATCAAACGTTGAATTACTGGGTCACCCGCCGTATAGCCCCGACCTCGCGCCTTGTGATTTTTATTTATTTCCAAAAATTAAACTTAAAGGAAAGCGGTTTATGAATGCTGAAGAAGCGGTGGCTGCGTATCGCGATGCCATTGAAGAGACCCCTAAGGACGAGTGGGCAAAGTGCTTTTCCCAGTGGTTCCATCGCATGCAGCGGTGTATTGACGTGAATGGACAATATTTTGAAAAGATATAATAAAACTAATAACTGGCTAATGTAATCAGTTTTTGATTTTCTAAGAACTTTCAGTTTGACCCTCGTATCGCCAATGAAGAGTCAATAAATAATAACTGACATTTTGTCAATTTTTGTTTTATTGAATTATACGTTGTAAATTGATTACTACACAATAGTGACGAAGATTTTGGGTTCGTTTCTTATGTTTTTTGTAAAATAAACAATAATTGTACTGAACAATACTGCACATTTATAACAATAAATGTACTGAAAAAACCAATATAATAGATTTGAAACGTTTTTTTCGTCTCCTGAAAAGGTGCATTTTTGCAGTTATTATTTATTGACTCTTCATAGACGATATATATATATATATATATATACTAACCATCTGCACGTCGTCCAGTATGCCCTGCGGCTGCGAGCCCGCCAGTACTTTACTGCATATGAAGTCGACGAGAGTCGGCTCCGGCTCGCCGATGTATTCTATAATCTTCTTGTTTATCCACGGACGGATCTTCTTCTCCATCAGCGTGTCGTCGATCTAAACATACACACACGATTAATAAGTCAGCACTGTCTATGACATAAGTAGATTTACTTTTTATTATGACAATTCATTCCGTTGTTTTAAAAAATATATATACGATTATTACAAAAGTCTTACATTTTAATTTCATTTTATTTTGTTATTAACAAAATTGGTGCCGAAACCCAATTCTAATACAAAAATTAATTATTACAAACTTATAAAATACTATATTTCATATTTACATAATTTTCAAATTTTGCAAAAGTATACAAAAGTTATTGTTTCTGGTTGGAGCGCTTCTTATAGTGTTTCTACAAAATGAGTGAACAAGAAAAGGAAAAGAAGCGTCTCCTGATGCTGAGAGGTCAGTGAAAAGCATTACATGTTACAACTATTACATTGGAAGATTTGGAAGTTCGAATAAAAATCATCGCTGACGTTTTATTAAAATATCAGGACTATCAAGCGCAATTGAATATTATTGACGAAACTATTTCTGATGATGACATGGAGGAACGTGTTATTATCTTAAATTTTTTTTAATTTAACAAGCACTTATATATTTATCACGATGACAGAGAACCTGTTAACCTGTTTGTAAGAGCGTATGAGGTTTATCCCCGCAATACTAGAAATCCATATAGATTGATACTACATGAAAAACTTCAAACAATGCAGTACTCTAAAAGTCGTCTTACCATGTGCGTTAAACTGTACAATATACCAAATACGATTTAAGGTTATAAACCAAATAACCTTAAATCGTTAAATATTATTAAATTAAAAAAAAAACGTTTATATAAATGGCTGCTGACAGAAAACTTTCATGATATTAAGGATTTTTTTGACTAAGAAATATACTTAAATTGTGATTTATTATTATTATGTTAACAATATGTATCTGATTTTTAATCCTGACACTTTAAATTAAAATTATTAGACATACAGATCTATATTATACATATTGACATTGTAAATTCAATAATAGTTAAAAACCAAGACTATATAAATTTGCATGCTTAGTAATGGGTGAAACACGATGTACTTATCAAAAATTAACTCTGTTATCTTGTTAACCATGTTTGTGGCAAATGAATAAATGAAATGATCTATATTCTTTACCACTGAGCTACCCAGGACCTACAGGACTGAGGAATTTTTTAAGCGCTTGTTACTTTTTCGCTACTACAAAGCGTTTTTTAACAAACCACTGATGGCAACATTTTTACAAATGTTAAAACTCTCAAGAAAGATGAATGTTTGTTCTGATTACTATATTTTATTAATTTTGCATTTACTAATACTCTAAGATCCCACTGCAAAATCACTACGTTCATCGCGTAGTTAGTCAAACTCACATTTTTACATACATTTATGAATAGGAGAATACATTGATAACAATCTGCCAGTCAGTAAGTGGCCACAAGTAATTTTTATTAAATCAATGTCAATTAATTTTCCAAAAAAAATTTCGTTCATGTTTTTTAAATAAAATATCCACATCATAGCAATATACGTAAAGAATTTCAAAAGCGATAGGTGCCGTTGTACAATCGGCCGTAATACGTTGCAGCCAGGTGTAAACAGGTAATATTTTGGTGTATTTATACGTTCATAACGTATACGCATGTTTTTTATATCACATTAAAGCAAATATTTTTTTAATATGATGATATAACGCTGCCTGTGAACAAATGGCCGCAAATTAAAGTTGCTAGCTGTTAAAGACTCGAGGTATCCGAGATAAAGTGAAAGAGAGTTAGCGCGCAACACTACTTGTTAGACGAGGATGGCGTGTGTCAGCTGTGCAAGTATTTAAAGCCGTATATGATAGGCGTAGTATATTTTTTGTAAATTAATATTCTAAACGAAAAATCATTAAATAAAGCCACTGTGTACCTGGCATTGTGAGATGGGATTCGAACCCATGACCTTTCGCAATGGCAATTTGTTTAAGCATTTTTCATTACGAACATTGGAAATGCAAAATGGATGAAATAAAAAAATATTAATCTTTCCTCTATATAATATTAGTAAATAATAATATTATATACCTGTGCTGTATCCAACTTGTACTGGAACAACTGTTCCTTCTGCGTTGGTATCTTATCGATGAGACTCTTAATGTGTTTGCGTTTCTCCTCCGCACTCTTGCTCTCCTTTTCACTATCGCCCTTCTTGCCCTTCTCTTTGTCTTTCTTCTCTTTCCCTGCTGTTATATAAACAAAGCATTAAAATTGTCTTAATATTTGTATAATTTTGTATTGATACAAAGCGATGTGTGAATCCAAAGAATTTAAAATGTCACGCAATATCATCAATGTGGAAAAACCTCTCTGAAAAATGGAGTAATAAATTTATTTCATTAAACAACATCAACAATATTATACAAACATATTCTTAGCTCAATAGCGCAGCGGCCCGCGATATTTATTGTTAAGCAACTTTCACAAAGGTCGGTCACTGGATGAGTGATTAAAAATTATCTCGCCTGAAGTGGAAGTAGACTGGTCATATTTTAAGAGGCAAAAAAGAAAAGTGGACCAAGTACTGAATAGTACCCAAGAAAGAGAAAGCATGAAAAGGGAAGGCCAACAAAAAATTTAGGAAGATACGGTATATGTGTATACGGTATATGTGTATACGGTGTATGTGTATACGGTAATATGTGTATTTAATAGCTTGTTGTAAATCCATGCAGAAAAAGAAATTTTTGCAAGAAAAGGTGATTCTCATCAATAAATCAATAATGAAAAGTTACGTCATCTAAGGGTAAGACTTAAAAAGTTCAAAAACAGGGTATTTATCTAAAAATAATAATGTATAAAACAATTACCTTTAAGTTTTACAAACAGAAACCACAGTAGCTTTAAAATTATTCTGAAATCTTTTTTTGATATCATAGCATAATCCTTTCTATTCCTTAAATGAATTTTGACGATGCGTATAAGCGAATCTACTTTTACGACATGATGAAATAAGATACTGTAAGATTTATTTTTAGACATTTAGATTTCATTAAATACATGTATAAGTAAAACAATACTATGATTTGTGAACTGACCTACCTTGTATAATAATATTGTTATAAATGGCTAATGAATAAATTGAAATGGAAATTGAACGGTATATAGGGTATACGGTATATGTGTATTCGGTGTATATGTATACGGTATATGGGTATATGTATATGTTATATGTGTATACGTTATATGTGTATACATACAGTGCCTGTGCGGCGTCCGCGGCGTGGTGGGCGAGTCCTCGTCGTCAGTGAACGCGGCATGTCTGCGGGGACGACCAGTCGCCGCCATCAAATCGCCACCTGTACACATATACATATGAGTGTCACATTATACAACTTTATCCAAGTAGATTTTAGCTGGTACAGAGCCGTACAGTCACGCACGTAGCAAAAGTAGCAAGGGCGTCGCGCGTTTGGGCACTGAACAATAATTTAGCGCGTTTGGGCACTCGCTAAGATCTGACCAATAAATTTTTCGCTAGTATTGTAAAAAATGAAAGAAAAAATAAATTATATTGATCTCCTGCGTGCTTCGGAAGGCACGTGAAGCCGTCGGTCCCGGTTGCATCTGCATCACGTTTATACCCACCTTTTCGGACTAGGCTCATGACCCATTTTCTCTTTAATTCGATTCCATCCATAAGGAAGGCCAGGGGTGCGACCGCCGTACTCTAGCCATGATTCTATCCATAGGATACGACATCTTAGTGATGTTATGATGATATTTCGCTTAATTTTACTACATATTTATGTTCTTTAATAACGACGAACGAATTTTATAGTATAATGCCTATGGATTCAAATCCATATACGATAGCAGCATCACCAACCATTTATACCATATTTATCCACCAAAAAACTTGGCAAAGTAACACGAAATGAAATATCCTATGGCTAGAAACAATGCTAGAGCGTTAAGACCGAACGCTCAATTTATCCCCATTCTATTAAATGTTTTAAGTGTAAACAATCTTGGAGCATTCATTGTTCTATCTACATTCGCAAACATTCTATGGAACATTCTAAGAATGCTCGTTCGCTTGGTATAAAAGGCATTAGAGCGTGCAAACACGATTTCTTCAAACATCAATCGAAGCGATACCTTCAAAGCGTTCTTGTGTTCTAGTGATTTAATTACATATAACTATCGATTTAAAAGTTTGATTTTAACGTTGTGTAGAATTCTAGTTCTGTTTTCAAGACGAATAGGAAATATGGACATTCTTTGAAAATTATGATTTAATGATAATTTTAATTGACAGGTACCGAAAAACTAAAATTTAGTAACAATAATAATTGATGAAAATAAGAAACCACTTGGTTTGGCCAGAAATTTTAATGCGCTTGTCGTGACGTCAAAGTACACAACTAGAGATATGACATTTTATATCAATATGGCCTTTGAGTGATTGATTATTATTCAATCACCCAAATCGATTAACAACTAATCGATTTTTTAAAGTATAATTAAAGTTTTTTAATTGAATCATATATATCAACGTTGGAAAGCAAACACGTAGTAACCCGCAAAACCAAAATTGTTCTTTAGAGCAGAAAAACTTTAATTTTTTTCGATAAATAATTCCTATTAACGTCCATGGTAACAAATTAGGTGTTCCTTAGTCAATCTATACGGAAAGAAGATATTTTTTCTTGGAAAAATATAAAGATTTTCCATTCTAAATATCCAATTTCGTTTTGCAGGTTACTACGTGTTTGCTTTCCAGCGTCGATATATAATCCATATGATTATTTAAAAAATCAAATTGCTGAAATAAAAATAAAAGCCTAAAAAGTTGAAAAGATATTAACTTTTTCAAACAACGACATCTCTATACGTGAACATTTTCGTCACATCCGCTCTGACAAGTAACATGGCGTTTGAATATTTTGAAGTTACCGCATTTTTTATGCAATTTTTAATAATTATTTTCAAGACGAAAACGAACTAATGTTGAAAAATATTACATAGACTTTATTTTAAAGCAATATTTATCGTAATATTTAGCACTTTTTTTGAATCGAACGCAAATTTCCTATTCTCGGTCGTTGAAATTCTTAAAACGAATTTTCATTTATACTAGAAGAACAAGAAAAAAATGCTTTTTTCTGACTACCTCCATAACCGAGTGGTTTGCACGCCGGTTTCAAGGTGTCGCCACCTCTGAGGTCTTAAGTTTGATTCCCGATCGGATCAATGTAGATTTTTTTTTCTATATTGTCTCGGGTCTTAGTGGTGTGATACCTTCATTGTCTCAGATACACCATTATATAGCTTTAACTTCTCACCTTGGAATCTGAGCAATGTGTGTAGCTTAGGCACTTTTGATACGGATATCAGAAACAACGGAGGGAATACAAATATATACATAATATAAATAGAAAACACCCAGACATAGAACAGACATAATATTGTTAATCACAAAAATGTTTGCCCTGGGTGGGAATCGAACCCACGATTCTCGGCGCAATAGTAGGAACGCTACCACCACGTCATTGAGTGAGTAGTTAGTTGTGTATAGATACTAGAGATGTAATGGATAGTTGTTTGGCCGGATACCGGATATACGGCAAGCTACGAGGCCGCAGCGCCAGATATCCGAATACCAGATATTCGGTCTTTATAGCATTACATGACCCGATCAGTTAATTCGAAGTAGTAAATCGAGTAAGGAGTTAATTCCTTTTTTTAGTTTTTATGTCATTTACTTTGCTACTTTAAAAACTCTTTCTCGTTCAACATTCGAGTGTGGCAGAGATAACATTGCCAACATAAACTCGGACAAATACTTAAAATAAGAATTCCCTGAAGCTGACATGGTATATGAAGCAAAGCGGAGTCGCCTCTTTCCAAAAAAAGCGGAAAGTTTGGTATTTATTCACCACAATTTGCCACTAGTTAATTTTTTGTATTAAACTTATTAATAATGTGAAGTGGTATAATTATCCTTGTGTAAAATAATGAGATTTATGTTTATTTTACTATCCGGTAACCGGCCGGATATTGGCACCCTATCCGGTAACGGCCGAATAGTAAAAATAAAGACGGATATGCCGGATACCGGATAGTAACCGGATATCCGTTTCATGTCTAATAGATACCTGCGGCGGCATCGGGTGGCGCGGGGCTGCCGGCGGGCGCGAGAGCGGAGGCGGAAGCGGAAGCGGAGGCGGACGCGGGCGCGGGCCGCGTCTTGTTGAAGCTTATCGTGATGGGCGAGCTGCCCGTCGACGTCGCGCTCTATAATATAAACAATCAAACATTACTATACTGAGCTTTGCACCTAAATAAGGAATAAAACAATAAATAAAATAGGGACTTATCAATGTTAAAACGAATTTTCTTTCCTTTTCTATAGTTTGTAAAACATATATAAACATTTTTAATTAATTTTATGAGACAAATATTAACATGTTGTTCGCGGGAACACCTTCAATAGCCCATGAGCACAAGTTATTTTATTCGGTCGCCGATCCTATCGTTTCTATTGGTAATTTATTTTGTCCAGACATAGGATTCCCCACCAAGAAGTAAACCACTCACCTTAACACCGACAGCTTCAGGAGATAATGGGTCGATCACCGATCGACTGACCAAAGTTCACAGTAGTGCACTGGTTTCCAAATAAACTGCAATCGTCTTATGTATGGCGAAAACTGTTCTTTGCAATGTTTATTCACAATTAAACACAATATAATAAAAATAATCCGATATATCACACCGAAAACCGTTAATTTCAACAACAATAATTTTATCACACTCATGTATGTTTCGCGCCACCGAACCTTCGAGAGTCTTTTTTTTTTTTTTTTTTTACTGGCCGCGGCATCCGTCGCCGTTGGGTCGTGGATTTGTAGTTTACCCACATATTGAGAAATACTATGCCTGAACATCCCCCCGCCTAACCAAGGTCCTCCTTGGTTCTTCATAAATTGGCAACCGACATAATTTAGAAACAGGGCGAAGTAAAGTACCGTTTTGTGTTCGAACCTCTGCAACCCTAATAATTCCATCTTTACCGGGCAAAAGTTTAACTAATCGACCGCGATTCCAATGAAGAGGACTGGTGTTATCTTCTTTAATCAACACTAATTCGTCTAATTTAGGGGATTCCGTAATCGCGTTCCATTTATACCGCTGTTGTAAGGTGTGCAAGTATTCGGTTTTCCATCGAGACCAGAAATGTTGAGACATTTTTTGAATTTGTTGAAAGCGAGACAACCGATGCATCTTTATTTCCTCATAAGGATATTCTGGTACAGCTACTAAAGGCTGACCAATTAAAAAATGACCAGGTGTCAATACTTGAAGGTCCGCCGGATCCGTACTGAGAGGGCACAGAGGGCGCGAATTCATGACCGCTTCTACTTTATGAAAGAAGGTCGTTAATTCTTCGAACGTCAACTTAGTCTCACCCAACACTCTCCGAGCATGATTTTTCGCCGATTTTACCGCTGCCTCAAATAAACCGCCATGATTTGGACTAGATGGAGGGTTGAAAAGCCATTTAATATTTTGCTGAACCAATTTCTGTTCCAACACCGAATTTTTACCTCGTAAAAATGTATATAATTCCTTTAGATATTTATTCGCACCCGTATAATTAGTACCGCAGTCCGATCGAATTAAAGAAGGAAGTCCCCGCCGAGAAACAAGTCTAGTCAAAGCCGCCATAAAAGCATCTACCGATAAATCCGAGACTATTTCCAAATGAACCGCTTTCGAAGCTAGGCATACAAATATACACAAATAACATTTTTGAATTTTGGCATTCCGTAGTGAATTAGATTTTATATAAAATGGGCCCGCAAAATCCGTACCGACGCCAAAAAATGGCCTAACACCGTCGACTCTATCCCGAGGTAAATCTGCCATAAAGGGCTGTGTAAACCGAACTTTAGACCGATAACATTTAATGCATCGAAATGTGACGCTTCTCGTAACTCGTCGTGCTGAAACTATCCAATAGTTTTGATATAGAATGGCCGCTAAAGTATTAGCTCCGACGTGACAGTAAATATTATGATAATGAGTTACTAATAAATCCGTAAAATGACCACGACCAGGCAATAGAACTTGATGTCTGGCGTCAAAAGGTAAATTTGCGGCTCCGATCCGCCCACCGACCCGTAAAATTTCATCTTTGTCAATAAATAAATTTAATCTTACTAATGATGATTTAATTGGATTTTTATTTATAAGCGCTTCAATTTCATCATGAAAATACTGATGCTGAACAATCCGAATTAAATGAGAAATGGCATTTCTACGCTCACATATAGAAATATTACCGATTAATCGTGAAGATTTGTTTTTACAATTATTAATGAACCTTTTAATATAAATCATAACATTTACTAATTTTTGAAAAGAACTATATTTTTCAATTAAATTAAGTTCTGTGTTATAAATCGCTACATTAATCACTTTTGCCTTTAGTCCTGGCAACATATTTTCGGGAAATTCTAAATAATCCTGTGGCCAAGTAGAAGCGGGTTGATGCAACCACTGAGGTTGCCACCAAAGAGGATGCTCTATTAAATCTGATGCTAAGGCACCGCGGGATGCTATATCCGCACAATTCAATTCAGTTGGGACATGTCTCCACCGAATCTCTATAGTTTGAGAAGTTATTTGAGATACCCTGTTAGCTTCATATACTTGTAAAGTATGTACCGGTCGCTTAAGCCATGACAAAACTATGGTACTGTCGCACCAACCTACAACTTCATGAAATATAACGTGGTCTCTCATAGAAGAGACAACATGATTAAAGAGTTTGGTTAAAAGCAGGGCTCCCTCTAGTTCTAGTTTCGGAATCGTCAATTTTCTTCTCAATGAGGCTACCTTCGACTTAGATATAAGTAGCCGAACGAGAACCTTTCCGTCCGGTAACTCCGTCCGAATATAAACCGCAGCGGCGTAGCCTAAAGAGCTGCCATCGCAAAAACCGTGTAGAGAATAACGTCCTAATCCATTACCATAAGATTTTAAACACCGAGGTATTCGTAATTTGCATAAATTTGGTAAATCCGAAATAATCATATCCCATTGCCGCTTAATATCGTCAGAAACTGGAGTGTCCCAATCTATTTTTTTAGAATTATCACAAATCCCGAGTAATTGTTGTAAAAGAATTTTTATTTTAAAAATAATAGGACAAATCCATCCTTGTGGATCGTACAAACGCGCTGATAGTGAAAGTATACCGCGACGTGTAACAGTAGACTTAATGATAGCATTAACGTGGTATGTAAAGCTATCTGAAACCGGGTCCCATAAAACGCCTAAAACCTTTATAAATTCCGAGTCGTCGGAGTTATCGAAACTTTTAGGAACTTCTAAGTGAGTAGTAGGTAAACCGTCCAATAGTTCCGGAACATTGGAAGACCATTTCCGTAATTCATAACCAGCTGTATTCATAAGTGCTATCAATTCATCGCGTATCCTCAACGCATCGAAGAATGTATCCGCACCGCCGTTAAGATCATCCACGTAACTGTTTTTTAATAATAAATTAGCCGCCAATGGATATTCATTTTTTCCGTCTTGAGCGAGTTGATGTAAACACCGAATAGCTACAAATGGACTAGACTTTAAACCGTACGTGTTAGTAGTCAATTCATAAATTTGTAGAGGTTCAGTAGGCGAAGATCGCCAGAAAATGAGTTGATATCTACGATCATCCGGGTGTATCCAAGTTTGACGAAACATCATCCGAACGTCAGCAATAAAAACTATAAGGGGCCATCGAAAATTTAATAAGATATCCGAAATATCCTTTTGCAGCTTCTCTCCAGAATATAAACAATCGTTTAAACACACACCCGTACTACTAGGAACGCTACCATCAAAAACTACACGAATTTTACTAACATCACCCGATTTTTTAAATACCCCATGATGTGCCAAAAAGTAATGTTCATCTTCCGAATTAAATTTTGAAACCGTCATATGTCCTAAATTAATATACTCCTCCATAAATTCTATATATTTTAATTTAAACTCCGAGTCACGTTGCATTCTTTTTTCTATTGACAAAAATCTCTTTAAAGCGGTCTGCCTCGAGTCACCCAAACGCTGATGATCAGGTATAAGTGGCAAACGTACAATATATTTACCGTCTAAACCACGTGTAGTGCTAGAACAAAATAAACGTTCACATTCTATATCCGCCGGACTAATAAATTTACATTCGGGTGGTTGTTCATAACGCCAAAATTTATCATCCGAGTTAGTATTTTGACTTGGCCCAAAAACTGCATAGTCAAAAATAGTACTTAACGCATAAGGCCCACCGGCCCCTAAGTCTATCTTCTCACCGTTCAAAATCTGACCTAAAATGTCGCAACCGAAAATTATATCTATATGTTTCATATGAAAAGAACCGTTATCTGAAATTATTAATTTTTTATTTGAAATATTTAATTTATTAACTAAGTAAGAAGTCGGTTTCTTTAAAACAACCGCCGTAACCGTTAACATAGGAAATTTTGTAATAATTGGCCGAAAATAAATTTTAACTACACTATTATTCTCTTTACTTTCAACACCGCCTACGCCTACAATAGGCACATTTGAGTAATGTCGCTTTAAGCCCAAACGTGTCACCAAATCAGCTTTAATAATAGATATTTGGGAACCGAGATCGAGTAATGCTCGAACAAGCATAAATGAATTTTGAGATGATTTAACTTCAATTATAACCGTAGGTAATATAACATTATCAATTAGTTTTGGTTCCAAAGCGACATTACAAAACTGTAATTGCTATTCTGAATTAGTACGCTGAAGCTGTGAGACCCCGGCGCTCGTATTCCGTACCTCCTGTGGCCCGCCATACGACCTACCAGCCTCCGCCGCGCCAATATTATTATTAATACGTTGTCGATAACGTGAAGAGCATAAACCGTTAGTACTATAAGCACGGCTCGATTGTTCGCCACGCATTGATGTTTGACGCGTCTCATACTGACTGACATTTCTGTCGCGCCGGTCCGCCGCTGCCGCCGCTGTGATAGCAAACCGGTTTGGTGGTTGGGAGCCACGCTCCGATGATGTAGTAACAAACGCGTGCCGAGTAGGAGATTCTGGACGCGGAATATGCATTGTACATATTAATTTATTATGACCGATATTACCACATGTATTACATGGTATTTTACTATTACATGACCCAGCATTATGTTCTCCGAAACATTTAAAACATAAGTGTGAATCCTTAATATAATTCTTACGATCATTATTAGACATCTTTTGAAATTTATAACATTCGAATATATTGTGCCCCGTAAATTGACAATATAAACAACGTTTCGCTGGAACAAGATTATTGTGAGTGACGAGACCTGCACGTGGTGCACGCCGCCCGCGATCCGAGTAGTTATTGTTATTCAATGAATCCGAAGTCGCTGTGTCTATCAATCGACATTCATTTTGCAAGAACTCGATTAATTGATTGAAAGTGGGCAAAGACAACGTATTTCCGCCATACTTATGCTCAAACCGAGACTTAACATCTAAAGGAAGTTTCATAAGACTGATATAAAATAATAAATAACTCCAATCATTTACGGGAAAGCCGAGATTAGTTAACGCGCGCGTAGATTCTAATAAAGGGTTAAGTATTTTTGTCCGGAGATTTAAAATATTATTTAAACACGGCAAATTCAATATGCGTGCAATATGAGAATCCGATAATAATCTTTTATTTTCGTACCTACTTTTTAAAATATCCATAGCCACGTCTAATGATTCATCGACCATTGGTAAATGTTTTATTAAATCCCTAGGTTCTTTTTGAACGTTCGAAAATAAATAATGAAACTTTTCTGTTTTCGAAATATCTTTCCTAGTCATAACCAAGGAATTAAACAAACTAATAAAACTAGTCCAACCAAATATATCACCATCATACATAGACAAGCTTATTGCAGGCAAGCGAACGTTTTGTGCACTTTCGGTAGGCTGATGAGAGCCATCCAAGTTTGGGTAAGCAGATGAAATCGCCTCTAATTGATAATAAATTTCTTCCGTGTTTTTAAACTGATTGTCATATAAAATAACATGTTTTTCATCCGTTACAGTATTCAACAATACTTCGTATGCCTCGCTTAACAACTTATACCTTTCTTCAATTTTACGTAACCGAGCCGAAATAACACCAGATGTTTGACTTTTATTAATAACAATTTCATTAGTATTTATGAACCAGTCACACTGTATTTTAAATTTATTTTCTATAGTTTTAGACGCCATTTTGTAATCGTGGAACTCGCGTGAAAATAAGTAAATTTTTGAATTATAACCGATTATACAAATTATTAAATAAATTTCGAGATGTTTACCGTACCGTATACCAAAAAATATGAAACAATAATCCGCGAGATGGACCAAAATAATTATGTTCGCGGGAACACCTTCAATAGCCCATGAGCACAAGTTATTTTATTCGGTCGCCGATCCTATCGTTTCTATTGGTAATTTATTTTGTCCAGACATAGGATTCCCCACCAAGAAGTAAACCACTCACCTTAACACCGACAGCTTCAGGAGATAATGGGTCGATCACCGATCGACTGACCAAAGTTCACAGTAGTGCACTGGTTTCCAAATAAACTGCAATCGTCTTATGTATGGCGAAAACTGTTCTTTGCAATGTTTATTCACAATTAAACACAATATAATAAAAATAATCCGATATATCACACCGAAAACCGTTAATTTCAACAACAATAATTTTATCACACTCATGTATGTTTCGCGCCACCGAACCTTCGAGAGTCTTTTTTTTTTTTTTTTTTTTACTGGCCGCGGCATCCGTCGCCGTTGGGTCGTGGATTTGTAGTTTACCCACATATTGAGAAATACTATGCCTGAACAATGTTGTGTACGCATAGTTCTAGATTATAGTCCAGACCCAATTATTTTGTCAAATATGTATTTACTTTTTATGACTGTAATCTGTTTTTTGTGCCTGTATAAATAAATAACTAAATAACATACGGCGGCGTAGTGGAAAAGCGCCGCGGCCACGGATCGTTGCCGTTAAGCAACTTTCGCAAGGGTCGGTCACGGGATGGGTGACCAAAAAAATATTATCTCAAGCTACTCCGTGCCTTACCGACTTTGTCCGTTGGTATCGAGGTTTAAAATCAACTGGAGATGACCAGATATGATCAGTGTTTTCAGTCTGTTTTCTTTCGAATTATGTTTATGTTAACTTTTATAATATAAATAACTGGTGTGCATACATTGCGGTTTACATTTAAGAATGAATTTCTTACTTTAAAAAGACAAGTACAGGGCATCATGCGCTCTTGGTAACGCTGTTTGTTTGTTCTCTTGCTTGTTTGTTTTTTAAACTTTTTATAATGTTACGCTACAGCTGTAGCTGTAAATTTTCATTAAAAACGTTTTTATGTTGGGTGACAAAAATTTGTTATCTCGAGCTCCTCCGTGCTTCGGTAGGCACTTTAAACTGTTGGGCCCGACTGCATGTAATGTCGTTACCTACTAAGCCACGCTGGGCCCGCGTAGTGGGTCATGACCCATTCTTATCATACAATAAAAGTCGATCCCGTCCATAGGGATGGCCTGAACCCCAGCAGTGAAGGCATTACTTTAAGAGTTAAGGTCTAAATTTCTTCTATAAATCTATATTCTAAAATCTATATTTTTTCTATATTTGTGATTATGTAACTTCTATTTACTCATGTTACTGTAAATTGTTTTGTGAGCTAAATAAATAAATGAAAATGTATACGTACCGGTCGGCGAGAATGCGTATCGGAGGGGGGGCGTGGGGGTGTAGCGCCGCCGTCATCTGAACTCTGCGTAACAACATAACATACACTACATTACACTACACTATAAATCAGTGTTTCCCAAATTATGGGTCACGAATGAATATTGAGCGAGTCCGAAAATGTCTTGTTCTTCACAGATAAAAAAATCTGAGATGGAATCTGATTTTATAATTAACATTTTTTTTATCCAGTCTAACATGGAAATTAACTGCAGATTAGTGCATTAGGAGAATATTTATAAACACAAATGTATAATCTGAAATAAATAAATAAAATATACGATGATAAATTAGCAGATAAAGTGGGAAAGGTCGGGAAGAACAGTCGACCTTGAGGATATGTTCCTTTATCAATTTAATAATTGAGTTCCGTGACTGTGCGCGTCTAACACACATTTAACTTTCGCATTTATAATATGACTAGCTTTCCGCCCGCGGTTTCACCCGCGTGTTCTTGTATTATACATAAAAACTTTTTTGAATCACCCTATCGTAGTTTTAAAGATTTAAGCATACATAGTAATATAGGGACAGAGAAAGCGACTTTGTTTTATACTATTTACAGCCAGTTGCACAAACGTTCATATAGATTTTCATTAGTTTAAAGCGACATTACCCATACAAATTTGCCATTCGTTACAGCTTAAAGGCGTCATTAAACCTTAATGGACGTTAGTGCAACTGACCGTTAGTGATTGGGAGTAAAGGTATGATGGTATACTTACGGCGGGCGTGTGCGGCGGCGGCGGCGTGGCGTGGTGGTGGCGGTGGTGGCGGTGGTGGCGGCGCGGGGGGGTCGTGGCCCCCGCCACCTCGCCCGCCGGGGGGGACAACGCCCCCGGCGGGGACCCGCCCCCGGACGCGGGCGATGCCGCCTCCGCGCCCCCGCTGCCGATACGCAAAGAACATTACAGTGACATTATAGATCTCGTATATGGCCCTTTATTCGAAAACGAACAACAACTTTTTTGTGAATTATGACGTTTTATATCATCGGTTATTTATTAGACTTTTTGATAATTTATATATATAATTTGCGACTGTTAGTTTATTTAAAAAAATGACAAAGATTCCTTATTCCGTGTCCGGGTATCTCACAAAAAAAATCAAAGAAAAAGTTTAAATTTAAATAAATACCTAAATTACACTTATGATAATACACACACAATCCGACATTGTTTATAGTCTTGTGCTACGAATAGATAACATGATATTTACTTTTTTATCATCTTCCATCCTTTTTTATTTTTTGAGAGAAATAGACTAGAAGTATAACTCTTTTGGTAGTATTAAATCCAACGCTTATTAGGAATTATTAACAATTCATTATTTTGCGTCAAGGTCCCGGCTGCAATTGCTATCGTTAATACCAGCGTGGAGGGTCATGACCCATCCTCCTTAACCCTGAGTCCCTTTTTGTAAAAAAAAATACAGCATTCAGCGCCACGTATTGAGTTAACACTATGCAGCTAACTCAAAGCACTTAGTAGTACTAATTTTATCTGGTTGCACTGATGTAATAAACGGGCCATTTATCAGCAAATATAAAATTAAACCCAATTTGCATAGTAATATATTTAGATCAGTGGCAATATTATACTATATACTATTATATTTAAATCAGTGACATTATTATAAATACCTGTCATCAGAGTCTATAGGTTCAGCTTCGGTGGGCAACTGTCGCGTGGCTTGAGCGCGTAGATATCTCTCTCTGTCTCGCGCCGCGCGTTCCCGAGCCTGACCAACACACGATATTAGCGTTATTACACTGATGGATTTTTTTTTTTCACCTTAACGATGGCTGCGACATAATGTGATTTACAACAAAAATTCTACATGTCAATCCTTCTCAAACAATAAAGTTATCAATGCGCTATCTCATAAAATAAATTAATAAAACAAAATTCAGGGACCCAAAATAGTTTTAAAACAAGACACAGAAATTGCGTTTTTTGACTCACGCTTACTTTTCCACTGTTTCCTTGCGTTTCCTTGTTTTCAAACTTAAATAACAGTCTTAAACATAAATGTCCCGAGAGGTAGTATTAAAATATTGACTGTACTTTAAGTAAACTAGAATTCAATTACACAGACACACATTGACGTTATACAAATCCCATATTAATTATTTGAGTGTGTGTACAGCCAACATAAGTTAAGTTCATACTAACAATGATATTGATCTTGGATGTCCAAAATAAAAATTTATTATTATAAGACGGTTATGTATCAAATTTGTTTGCAGAAATCTCCGAAAAAACTTTGTGGCATAATTGTATACAGCGTGTTTGGTAATACCTGTATAATCCCGAATATGGCACATACGGTATTATGAATAGAACCCAGAAAAATGATCACTAAGTCTGAAACCCGGCACATGACCTAGATATGTAGCTTTTTTTTTCGAAGTAAAACTGTACGCTGACAACCCTTAAAACAGATGTTGTTCTAGGAAACGAGAGAGAGTGAGAGGTAATGAGAGAGAGAGAGAGCGAGTACGCCGGGACGGCACGTATAAGCTTTCAGGGTTGTAGCATATTAATTGAAAACAAATTGTTCAAATATTTGTATGAAGATCTCAATTTACGTGAAATTGTTTTTTGACATATTAATTGTGTTCTTTGTGCTAGGTTGTATGGCCATGTTTCGGGATTATACATGTATTACTAAACATCCTGTATATTTAAAATCTATCGCAATCCCTTTAAATGCATAGCGATTCTAATGTTTTTTGGAATCATGCAAGATTTAGTCGCAATCGAATACATCAAAAACTCGGTAACTCAAACTCACCAAAATATATTAAAAATACGCCACAATCGCAATTGCTATAACATGTCAAAGAGTTGGTAGCGTGAAGTTCGTGAATATCTTTCAAATATCAAATCGATAGATTTCAATAGATTTTAAAATAAGACAGGGCTGTAATCAGGAAAATTCCTTCATTATAAGCTACATTATAAGCAAGTTATATTTATTTTTTATTTATTTATGCATAAGGATGACCGACAGCTAAAATTACAAAATAAAAATCTTAGTTAAAAACAGACAGCCAGCAGGTCGTCACATTCAGGCATGGTATAAAAGTGGGAAAGACCGTCTACAATCACGACAATGATATAGACAACGCTGCTTACACTATAATTAAATTTAGATTTTCTAAAGGGATCAAGTGATGTTTCTTACAAATTTCATAATAACAACTCGAATTATAGCGACATAGGCTATAATTTACATGATCGAGGTCACGGGAAGACAGCTAGTAGACATATTCTTAACACAAAATGCTTAAAAAATCCATTTGGTCCCTGGCCCCCTGATATGGGACTCGAACCCACGACATTTCGCAATCCGAGCGACTGCTCTAACCGCTGAGCTACCCAGGACCTAACAGGACTGACGAATCTTTCAAGCACTTGTTACTTTTCGCTACTACAGAGCGTATTCTCATCAATGTACAGGCATCCACCCAAACAGCCGAAATAAATATTGTTACAAATATTGAAACTTTCGATAAAGATGAGAATTTTGTGTAGTCGCCCGGATTTTTTAAGCATTTTTTATTAAGAATATTTTTCAGTATGGCATTGTGAATGCAAAATTAATCAAAATATAATAGCAGACATATATTATAAGTGTACCTCTCTCCTGGCGTCCTCCCGCTGTCTCGCCCGCTGCATCTCCCGCTCCCGCTGCAGTTCCGCTTGTAGACTGACGTCTATCAGCAGACGCGGCTTGTATTGCTCCTCACGTTCGCGACGCATCTATAATAATATTATACAACATATGATATTCAGGAAACCAACAGAATAATTTTTTTAGTTAATATATATGTCGAAAGGTAGTCCGAAGAGGCTATTACGAAGCCCAAATAGATGGTCCATATGGGGGACTATCTTTAAAATAACACTGCAGGCGTGTATAACAATATGGATTTATTCCATTTTATCACTTTTCATACGTAAATATAACGAGATGAGCGTGATGTCGTCGGATGTCTTTACTCCTCGGCGATCGGAAACAGAATGCGTGCCAAAATGGTGGCAATTTGCTTTTTGTTAACGAACTGTCAAATTCAGTGTTACCATTCTAATAAAATTAAAAGTATCGATGATCACGCCCTCTCTACAATCAAATAATTAAGTAATCGAGTAACTGGCAATTAAAAAAAAAAATCAAACGATGTTCGTAAAGATGAGGCGACATATATATATGTCCAATATATATATGATACAGCTGAAAATCAGTGTCTGTTTCCTATATGGAACATCCAACACTGAGCAGTATACCTCTTGGGCCACTAATTCACTCTAGTATGGCGGTACGATTCGTTGTTTGTTCTAATTTTTAATGTTCCTAAACACCAACTAATATATTTTACAATAACTTATAATGTATCAGTAAATATATATAGAGGATCAATAAAGATTTATCTATCTATCTATATATCAATGTCCATATATAAAAAGTCCGAAAATTCAAACAATCTTATTGTTTATATCGTAATTCTAATAAATTCTCTTTGATTCTCTTTAATTGCCCAGCGCTAGGCGCCGCACAATGCATGTCCTAACTTTATGCGTTACCTAAAGTCGTTAGGTGGCTCCTTATCATCGATGAAACGTATTATCACCTTTAACAATGCCCAAATATTAAGGTGTCAGATTTCGGCGACTCCTAAGTTTAGTGAAAACGGGCATGAATCCCTTTGTTACTACCGATTGCATCCGCTAATAACCATATTTCAGCCGCGAGTACAGTTACTGGGTTAAAATTTAATCACTCGTCAATAATGTAAGCCTTCTGGTTACCTTCTCGAAGGCGGCAGTGGCGGCGGGATCGTCGGCGGGTCTGTGGGCGAACAGTTCCCGATGAAGCGCCTCCAGTTCCTCGTGCTCGCGCTGTCTCTCTCTACGGTCACTCTCCGCCTCCCTCACACGTGCGCTCAGCCGCCGCTGGAGCTCCTTACCTCTGATTACCGTAAATTAATATATAACTTTAGTGGCTCATAGACATATTACATAATTTCAAGTATTATACAAAGCATCATTTCCAATTTTGACGTAAAAAATGACTAACACGTCTAGTGATGTGATATATATCAAAATGTAAATTATTTTATACTTATTTAATATCGTTTGATTAAGTCTTAAAATAAAGCCAGGAGTGAAGCTGATACATATTTTCCCAAAGTTACCCCTATTATATTCGGACCCTACAATGACGTTTTGCTACACTACCCCAATGCGATTCGGACCGTAGAATGACGTTTTGCTACGTTTCGTTTCATTTTCAACGGAAAAATTTGGTTTCGTCATAAGGTTAAAAAGTGCAAATTAACAATTACATTTAAATTTATTTCCACGTTTACGAGTCAAATTATAAAAAGCTTTTATTTTAATACATTAATTTTTAAAGCTCTCTCGAGTTTTGACAGCTGATGTAACCTCAAATATTATTTACAAATTATGATTCTCCTTGGTCTCCAGATGAAAATAAACTTAGATATTATTCTTATTTAAGCAAAAACCAATTTATCAGTAATTGCAGATAAACATGACCTTTTAAAAAAAACATGTACCAGGTCAATCAACGTATGGAGAGTGGACATGATTCTTCCCTGACTCCGCTGATGTTACTTTATTGGCACTTATAAAAAACTTATTAATAATATAATGTCGAAAGTTTGTAAGTTTGGATGTTTGTTACTTCTTTACACAAAAACTACTGAACGGATTTTGATGGCATTTGGTATACGGATAATTCTTAGTCTGGACTAACAAGTCAACAAAGAAACAACCACCTTCACTCTATAAACGCCAAAATGAATTCATAAACGAGAAAACAATTAAAATTATATTCTGATTTAATATTCATTTTTCACACAACAAATAATTAAGATTAGTAATTTCTGAAAATAGGTTTTACTTATGATGAACTAATATAAATAAAAATAGTATATATATACTGACTTGTAGTATTTGTGATCGTCCCTCTCATCGTCGTAATCCTCGAGGAACTCCTTCAGCCTCTTCGCCTCTCGCTCGCGCTCCTCCTCGCGGCATCGTTCCCTCTCTTTCTCCTTCTCGTATTCCTTCGCCTTACGTCGCTCGCGGCCCTCCCAGTTTCGCAACCTAACGAAACAACACAATTTAAAAATTAATTTATACTTTCAACTGTTATAAGGCCCTTGTTGAGTTTGTTTGTCTGTTGAATATATCCAAAAACATGTGACGTATTTTAATGTTTCTTATAAAAGTTTCGTGAAAGCAGGCTAAAATTTAGTGTCTAGTGAACTTCCTTTGCTGTTAAACGCTCTTATTTCATTTTTTCTAACGAGTATACATATTTCCATATAACATTTCACCTACATATATAATTACGTCAGTGTATACCAAGAAATATATTTAAAATAACATTACAAACCAATATTACAAAGAAAATTTCTAACTTTGTTTGTTTCTAGGGGTAATTTCCAGAAATACTGATCCAATGAAGAATATTATTTCACCTAAATGTAGTTGCATCATACGCGGATGACATAGGCTCACTTACGCGAGCGAAGGCGTGGGTTAATATTTGTTAAGTCTCACCTCTCCTGGTATGCGGCCTCTTTCTCCCTAGCCTTCTTCTCGAGTCGTTTCTTCTCCCTCGCCTCCTCTTCCATCTCTTTCTCTCGCCGTGCATCCGCCTCGCTGCGGCTGCGTCCCCTCCCGCGAGACCCCGAGCGTTCTCGTTCACGTTCGCGCTCGCGGTCGCGTTCGCGTTCTCTGTCACGTTCGCGCTCGCGTTCTCTGTCGCGTTCGCGCTCACGTTCGCGTTCCCTTTCCCGCTCCCTACCAAAAATGTATAATTAGCATTGTCATCGACCAAACTGAAAATTATTATAATTGTAATAAAATACAAATTTACATTATATGAATATGTGTTAAAAAGGTTTGCTTTACATATAATTACAACGCTTATTGTAATTTCATTTTGTTAATATATTTATTTATTCGATAATTATAATAATTGGTAATATTAATCATTTCTAAATTATCAGTTATTATAATAATTAAAATATATTACAAGTAACAAGTAGCATAATTAATGTGTCAATCCACCCGTGAATAGAGCTAATTTAGAGCTTAGTATAGGATATAAACTCTGAAAGTTAAACGAACCACTATTTTCAACTGTTTTTGTTATATTTATAATAGTAGTTTAGTTCCAGTACAATTAGTTTGATAGACTTCAATAAAATTTTGTTTTTTATATGTAGTGTTTTCGTCATCGTTCGTTAATTAGTAAACGTTGTTTTGCCATATAAATTTGAGGCTGGACCACCTTTATCACTGAAGAGGTTACAAATAAATAACAACCCATTCTCATTCCTACTGAATATACATATCAAATTTCATCAAAATAGGTCAAGCTGTGTCGGAGAAGTATGGTAACTAAAACTGTAGCACGAGAATTTCGTCGCATGTGTCTGTCTGTCTGAACGTGATAAGTTCATATATCGATAAATTTAACAGGCTGGATTAATGCAAAGATATGGCACGAGAATTTCATATATAAGATTAAGCCAAACAAATTTCCTTCGTCGCACGTGTCTGTCTGTCTGAACGCCATAAGTTAATATATCAATAAATTTAAGAGGCGAACTTAATGCCTTAGGCAATCCGTACCAGAAAACCATAGTATAAAAAAAATAACAATTAATAGATAATGTTTTTTTAATAAATTATTATCAGATGTAGAAGTACGACGATATATCTCAAATATCACGTGATAATACCCTTTGTTGTTGTCGTGAGCACGTCGCAAGTCATCTCGTATCTCGTACCGCGTGCGTATGTACGGATGAATAGTCAACATTCTCACTGCACTCACCAATAAAACACCATCTAACACTTTATACGTATAACAACACTGGCACTGTTCCAAACTGTAATCCCTCGAGAACCTTCAACACTATTTTTTATATGAAACAGCAATGCTATATATTGATTTCGTATTAATCCTTCGTTTAAATGAAGAAAGACGTTTAAGAAACTTACAGAAACAGGGGGCTAATTGCATAATTTTTAAATCAATCGCAATCCTTTTGAAAACTTTTGGGTCGAAAAAATAAATTCTGTTTAGTCCGTCAGTCAGTTAACAGAAAAACATTAGATCCTTATTTTATATGCTTTAATTTAACAAGAAATTGCTTAGTTAATAGCCATTAAAGAAAAGGAGTTTTATCTTGAAAATTTGTTATCATCCCTATTTAACAATTGAAAGATATCGATTTTGTTAACTTTACGTTAATTGGCCTTTTCTAAAGGCAACCGTTAGAAGCAAATATAGCAAATATGTTGTATGAAAACTGCAATCTTTCGACGGGCTTAGTAAGCCTTTTATTATGTTTCTGGATCATTTAAATCTTCATTCGCTCCGAATGCAATTGCGATTTTTAAGTCATATAATTCAATAAATAGCTACCACAATCTAATCTTTGTATAACCTGTTCCTTTGAATTTTGAAATTAGACAATTAGCCTTCTGCCCTGCGATTCTGTAAAATCCAAACCCGAATACGAAATCACTTCAAAAGGCGGCATCCGCTCAATCTTGAATTGGTAATAACGTTTCGTGGCATAAATGAAGTGAGTTTCGAAATGACATAGGAATAGAATATCTGAGACAAGCATATTCAATCAATTTGTTTTGTATTTTTATACAAAAAATGGAAGCAATAGAATTTCTATATTAAATGTCGTGAATTCGGACGCAAATGAGTGAATTCTAATATTTACAAAATCGCAGAGCTGATCCTTCAGGCCAGCGGTTTTATGTGGATGACAAGACACGTGATTCTTCATCTACAATGTTTCCTTTGCAATGGATCTTTGAATTTCCCAAACATTACTGGATATAAAAACTTTTTTAGATATTAATATTTTCTTATTTATTTTATAAAAGCTTATCGTAGTTTGAACTAAATAATTTCTATGTTCAGTATCTAATTAGGCAATTAACTTTATCCGCAATAAAATTATCACGTGATACACGCTGACAACCTTACTCCAATTTCAGTAATGAATAATGACAATATCACCTATTAATATGTAAGCAAACAAATGGACAAATAATATTTTTAATTTATAGAAAAAAAGTCGAAAAAATCGCCTGTTATTATAACAATTGTAGAACATACTTTTATATATTAACACAAAAATTCAAATGCACCAACACATTGAGACAACAATTTACTACTATTTCAAAAAGCCTTATCAGAACACGCATCTCTAAAATACACCAATAATTTCAGATCACAATTATTATTGCGTCAAAAAGTTTAATTGGAACACACAACACTCTCACTTATACATTCAAATTGGACACAAATTTCATTAAATTGTGCACATTTTAATTAATACTATACAACGCGAATTGCAGTTACGAATGAAATATTTATTTGTACGATTGTTAAAACACACGCAGTGAAACTGGCCAGCGAGAACGTAATCTAGCCGAACAAACAACTAACACGAGCCTACTGCAACATATATACACATATGATAAATCTGTATGCACTTCCATTACTTACAAAAAAAAATTCAAATGGTTTTACTTCACTTGACACCGTTATGTATGTTTTTTTTTGTGTCCAATATGTATCATAAATGGACACAATGCAAACTTATATTGTAAATGCGAAAATAACTCTGTTTTTGTTTGTGTCTGTTACATTTTCACGCCCAAACTAGTGACCATATTTTAAATCAATTTGGTAGACAGATTGAGCGAACCTGAAGAAAGGACATATAATATTTTTTATCGCAAAAAATATACCACACAAGCCGTGAGCAGAAAACTAGTACTATATTCTTTTTATATAAATATCTAGCCTTCTTTAAATTCATTGTGTACTGCATCAATTAATTTAATCAACAGCACAAGAAACAGACTTCCACATGTATTTCAGTTAAAACTTATTAATAAGTAACTACATATTTTGCTATTATAAATATGGACATTACACTGTGAATGTCAAACGTTACAAAAATTAACGAAAGAAAGATAACAAGCAAAGTTTGTATTCAGAGCTTGTATCGTATCTAACAGGTAGTTGCAAGCAACATAAACGTTATCGGCGGCTTATCGTCGACAATACCGCATTATAACCACACACCATCACTATACTACTAGTTTACTGAACCATAAGTAACCAGTGTATGTACTTCGTTATATCGAGGATAATTAATTATGCGGATATTAATTATTTTTTCGAAAAATGTGTCAGTAATAATCTAAACTACATAATTTATCCATATATTTATCCACTACAAATAATATATCAGATATATTTACTGAAATAAGAATAATAAGAATATTGACATTCACACAATAACTTACAGAATTCATATCTAAAACTATATATAAATGTGTGGTTATTATGTGCGAAGGACAATTAAGACCCTGTCTCAGCAAATGTCGCTACTGTGTACGCTGGTATTATGGCAGTGTGTGCTATAACGTGTGTGTATTTATGTAAATGCGTTCTATCTAAAAACAAGTTATAACTGTAACATATATATAGTTTGTGTATACGTATTAAAATATAAAGTAGTGGATAGTATAGGTATACATTTAGATATAACAAAAGTAAATAATTGTAAAATATTACTACAATACACAGATACATAGTACGTGAAATAAGAAACATACAAATATATAGCGTTTAAGTACAAATATAATATAGTCATCAACATCCCATTCTACTTCGTGTCAAATCAAATTATCAATGTCATTGTCACGAAAGAGTAGCAAATGTGCGACGCGTAAAAATGTGCTGCCATGTATTAATATTATTTCAATTTGACCCAGGTAAGACTACATTTCATATTCATCACAAAAAGTTTATAACGGCCACAGAAAATGGGCCATCAGCACAGGGCATTTATAATTCTTGAAGGGGATCATATAACTTTCAATAGCGATCTTTGTGCCCTCTCTAAATCCAAAAATTTCTTTTTCGTTGCAGCTCCCCATATACTAATACAGTACGCCAAAACTGATTGGACTAAGAAAATATATATTTGTTTTATTATTTGTGTTGTTGTCAGATATTTTAAATTTTTGAAAAGCCGAATAATCTTCCGGATTCTTGTCATTAAAAGCTCTATATGCAAATGTCAGAATAAACGCTGGTCCAACAGTACATCCAAATATTTTGTGCTAGAGATTTTACTTAATTGAGAGCATACATGATGAGTGCTAGATAAGTCATTATAATAATGTATAAAATACATATTTAATTTGTCTTGGACGTATTAAGAGTCAAGAGATGAGTTTTTAACCATCGTACAATCCTAACTAAACTTATTTCAGCACATTCACGAATCTCCTTACAGTTTTTCCGGCAGAATATAGTGTTTTCTAATACAGTATCATCTGCATAAGAAAATATGTTTCCATTATGTATTGTCTTGTTACAAAGAGTATTTACCTATTTAAAAATAGTGTTGGACCTAAAACGCTTTCCTGTGGGATTCCATAAGTAATGGTAGAGTCGTGACTACGATGCTCACCCTTTTTGACCTGTTGCCTGCGTTTTGTTAGATAATCTTCGAAAAAACACAATGGAACCCCTCGTATACCAATAAGCTATAGGTTCACTAAAGAGTGGAAACTGAGACTATTGAAAGCTTTTTTATATCCAAAAATACTGTTACACATTTGTTCCCTTTGTCCACTTGGTCAACAAGGAGTGATGTTATAAAAATCGATTCATAATTGCCGGAGTATTCGCGTAAACAAACATACAGTCGAATTGAGGACCACCTCCTTTTTTGAATTCGTTAAAAGATATACATAGATAGTACCATCTAACTGCAGGATAATTAGATAACTGTTTACTGATCTGGACAGACGCAGAAATGTTTCTACCGATACAACATCACATCACGTCATGACGAGTTTCGGGTCACGTGATATACAATACATATTAAAAGATTCACAAGACAAACTTGCGATATTAATATTTTAAAAACTCACCTTTCGCGGTCTCGCTCTCGTTCCCTTTCTCTCTCTCTTTCACGTATTTCGCGTTCTCTTTCTCTCTCGCGCATTTCCCTGTAAATAATCCAACAATATAACACAACTCATCAACACAATAAATCAATATTGTATGGCAAACGACCTACCTCTCGCGTTCCCTTTCCCGTTCGCGTTCACGTTCCCTGTCTCGTTCCCTCTCTTCTCTCTCCCTCTCGCGGTCCTTGTCACGTTCATCTCGCCTTTCTTTGCCTCTGCGTTGTAAATGTATATTATGAAAAAAATCGCTTTACGGAAAGTCAAAGTATATAAATAATCTTTATGATACACAAGTAATAGAAAAGTAACCTTTAAATTGAGATATTTTCATTGAATATTATATTGAATGCAAGAAATAAATATTGCATATTATATAAAAAAATTAAACGGTGGACAAAAAAATTGAGAATCATCAACATGAAATTTCGAGACCAATTATACTAGTACTTTATATTTAGTATATCTAAATATATATAACTCAAAGGTGACTGGCTGACATAGTGATCTATCAACGCACAGCCCAAACCACTGGACGGATCGGGCTGAAATCTGGCATGCAGGTAGATATTATGACATAGGCATCCGCTAAGAAAGTATTTGGATCAATTCTATCCCCAAGGGGATAAAATAGGGGATGAATGTTTGTATGAAACTTTGTCAATTTTAAACGGACCGGGCTGAAACTTTGCATGCATAAAGCTACTATGACATAGGCATCCCCTAAGAAAGGGTTTATCATCAGTTCTATCCTCTTGGGGATAGAATTGATGAAAATTTGTATGAAACTTTGTTAATTTTAAACCGATCGGGCTCAGACTTTGCATGCATAGAGCTACTTTGACGCAAGCATTCCCTAAAAAGCATTTTGATAAATGAAACTGAAATTTCAGGTATTTCGCACAAATAAATATTTTACTTTACCACGCGGAAGAAGTCGCGGGCAAAAACTAGTTATATATATACTCAATCTAGTGTAGGCTATGAGCGTTAACTTACGGCGAAAAAGTCGAAAGTTACAGCGGGAGACTTTATAGTAAGAACCGCTAAGCTTTAAAAAAAAAATATGACTATTATCATTTGTATAAAGCAACATTACTGATACTAATTAGACGTTCATTAATGTTGAAAAACATCATTAAAACCTTAATGAACATTTGTACAACTGACCAAACAACTAGCAACTAACTGACCGTATGAAGAAAAACCGTCGAGTGGTATTCGAGAATCGATACGTACACATCCACGTGCTCTAATCAATAATTATCTTAACAATTATTATGATCTAAAGCTGATTAAATCATAAATAAATAATATAGAAATCATACTTTATGTAAAATTATCTCCTCGCCTGCTAATAAAACAAAGAAAACCCGTCTGATATATGTCATAGGTCATGTGCCGTTAAATATATTTCATAAATTCACCTCGAGGCGCTGCGCCTGCGTCGATCCTTGTCGCGATCCCGCTCCCTCTCCCTATCGCGCTCCTTGTCCCTCTCCCTCTCCCTCTCCCTCTCGCGGTCCCGGTCCCTGTCCTCGCGCTCCTTGTCCTTGTCCCTCTCCCGCTCTCGCTCCCTGTCTCTGTCGCGCTCCCTGTCGCGGTCCTTGTCCCTCTCCTTGTCTCTGTCCTTCTCGCGCTCGGGGTCCCGTTTCCGTCGCACCACCACATCGGCCTCCTCCTGTGCCCAACACAAACGCCCACTCAGTAACTTTCGCGACCTCACTACGTCGCCCGCGCATCTACTCACGTTCTATCTTCAAATATAACTCTACTGTTTTAATATTATACATAAGCCATATAGATAATAATAAAAATATATATTTATATAGTGATAACTCGATACGAAATTCCAAAAATAAAATAAAAAAACTAAGAAGTTTTAATTTTACGATGGACGTCGTCGGCGAGAAGAAAAGACTTTGTAATTGTCCACGATTATATAAATTATAATGATATTACAACATTTAAAGACGCTAGTATACAAGCGTAACTGTCACAGGGCGTTATAATTTCAATTGCTTGCGCAAAACTAATTAAATCACAGACATTGCTGTATACAAACTGTTAATGACATTTTATATTTTTTTAAATTGAACATAAATGACCATTTTAATATATTTGTATGCCTTTAAAAAGGTAGAAACGTAGTGATACTACTAATAAAATTTATAACACATATGACTGTACTCTTTCGACTTCTACCAAAGATTGTCAGGATAGAAGATGATTCAGCTTCAGCCAGAAATATCTTTTCCTCTTACCGATTTTATTACTTGTAAATAAATTATTGAATAAGGGGTTTATTAAAAGATCAAGGGGAATAGCACAACGCGAGTAGAGGCCAGCGATCGCTATGCATCGCTAACACTAAAAGGCAGAATTACACAAACAATATTATAAAATAGTCTCCCCTGCGCTCACGCACAGCTTCATGATAGTATTTAAAACCAATTTCAAACGCAAGATAACAATTGTAGAAAACACGTATTCCATTAATAAGTCATTTATCACACCAAATAGTATGTTATAAAGTCTAATCTTTAAAAAGCAAATGACACTTGTTTTGCGGTTTTGGGTAACGCAACAAACGCATTTTTTTATTAAGTAAACGTTTCCGGGTTAACGTCTACGCAATATACGCGTGCCGTGAGCGCAGAGTCGACAACATCGAGATATTGGATATCATACGAGCTGGCAGTGCGGCATCAGTTACGAGAATCTCAGAGGCTCGCGCTGGAAACTGGCAGGCGACTGCGACACGACGCCTACACTGTCAAACAACACCACGCCTTCACCAACGTCAACATCCACCACGAGAACATACAGTAGCACTAGCGATCATCGCGATAATCGATCGCGACCACTAAATCGAATCGGCGCGATCGATAAATCGAACCGATAACCACAGATCGTCGGACGATACGTGCGTAACAACACATCGTTTACAAACGGGATTCGAACCCGTCGCTGTGTGGGTGTGTGTCATGTAGTGTGCGTTACTCACGACGGGCGGCGCGGGGGCGGCGGCGGCGGGGCGGCGGCGGAGGGGGGCGCTCCCGCGATGACGTAGTCTCCAACATAGCCCGTGACCGAGCGCGATACACAACACTATATCGTTACTAACTTATCGGCCCCACTCACACAGTTACTACTACATGCACAGAGAATATTCTTCACTAAATTAAAATTTTGCCGGCTATTTGTAGATTCAAATTAAAAAAAAGGTAAACTCCGAAACGCCATTTTTGCCGAAATTGAAACCGAACCGACCTATTCCTTATTTATAAATATGTAAAAAAAAAAACAAAAATAAAAACTTGAAACAATTATTTTATATTTTAATATCACATTCAAGATGTTTTCACCGAAACTAAATCTTCTGTCTCTATTTTTTTTCTCGTTTTATAAAGACCGCTATGTCTCTAATATAATAAATAACAGTTTAGAGATTATACTGTAATGCGGAGTGGGGCGTGGTTTAAGGGGTGTGGATCGCGCGGGGGCGGGGATGGGTCACTCGTCCGCCACTCACTAATGCGGAGTCGCGACCGCGGTCACACCAGTCGAGACTGCTCGCACACTTTACACATTGGCACTCGACAAATGGTAATAAACTAACGAGTTCGATAAGCCGGCTACAGAAATATGAACCTTATATCTCCTTTATAGGGTAACTTATAACTGATTCCATCCACAGTTAAAACATTACAAGATTAACTTTATACCACTATCCTTATTGTTGACGACAGCCACGTGCCGAAAAATGTACAGATCGAACGACCAATCACAGCGCCTACATTTGCGGAATTCTCAGGGAGCCCATTGGCTGCGTATGCGCCGTCCGCACGGTGGGGGCGATTCCCCCACCCGGCGCGCGGGCGCAAAACGCGCTGTGATTGGTCGGCCGCCGCGCGTCACTAGTAGCTAAGTTAGATGTTAAGTGTAGAATAAGGGTAGGGCCAAATTTGTAAATATTTGTAGTCAAGTCAAGTCAGTCAAGCAGTATAGTCAAGCAGTAATAAGTAGCCAGTAAGAAGAAAATACAATAAATCGTCTATAGAAGAAATCCGTCTTTGTTTTCACCATCATCCACGGTTATACAACATCGTCTACAGTTTGGTCCATAGAGCCGGATCAGCACCCTCAACAGTTTGGTCCTTCGAGCCGGATCAGCACCCTCAATAGTTTTGGTCCTTCGAGCCGGATCAGCAACCTCAATAGTTTTGGTCCTTCGAGCCGGATCTAAACACGCATAGAACCTTCGAGATCCAGCAACAGCAATTCAAGATGGTGCTTACAAGAAGCCAAGACGAAGAAAACCAACGTCGTGTCTTCGACCAGCCGCCGAGATCGCCCTCAAGTACACCGACCGTACGAGGACGCCTCGAGACGGGTAATGCCGGGGAGAGCCTACGCACCGCACCGCAAGTCTCGCAACTAGCGCCTAACGCGAACCGCGCTGGGGCAGACGTTGCCGGAGCACGCGTCGCCTTGGCAGTGACTACGCAGCCGCCGAGCGGAGCGGACGAACGCGCAGCACACCCAACGGACACAGCGGCGACTACTGGAATAACGACATCTGCGATGACGTCATCGGTGCAACCGGCGAAGAGATTGCACGTCGCGCGTTCGACCCGCTCGGCAGCGAGCAACGCGGCACGCCGGAAGCTACGCATCGAAGCAGAAGAACGACTGGCTGCCATAAGACGCCAAGAACTCGAAATTGAAGCGGACCTCATAAAAAAGACGCTCAATATCGAGTTAGAAACGCTAGACGGAGCAGAGAGCGAACCCGAAGCTGAAGAACCGGCAAATAAATTACAAGATCGAGTGTTCGAGTGGCTCGACGACGCGAACGTCGACCAACAACGGGGGGAGCTCTCAAGGACCGCCGTGGCTGAACCGCCACCTGAACGCGACACGCGACGCCCAGATAGGGAAGAACGAAGACGGTCGTCATCGCGAGGCAGAGGCATCGATCAACTCGCCTCTGTCCTCGAAACCCTCGTGAAGTCACGACCGCCGCCGCGTCAAGCATCGGATCTACCGATATTCTCTGGTTCACCGCTGGAATGGCTACAGTTCGCGACTGCGATGCGAGAAACAACGCGGCTGTACGAATTCACACCTACAGAGAATATGGCAAGACTAAGAAACTGCCTACGTGGAGAAGCTCGGGAAAACGTCGCATCATTGTTGAGCACCGCGACGCACCCCGACGAGATCATGCGAACACTGGAGCAATGCTACGGAAGGCCAGAAAGACTAGTGGACATGGCTTTCGCCGATCTACGGAAGCTGCCGAAGATTGGACCTACCGCGAACGATCTTAACATGTTTGCGGTGAAGCTACAGAACGTCGTGGCCGTCCTGAGGAACGTGCAGCCAGAGTACCTACTTAACCCACTGCTGACCCGGGAAGTCTTGGACAAGATGCCGAGCTACCTTGTATCGAGTTGGTGCAACTTCGCCGAGTCACAGCCGGGCCCGAACGCCGATCTACTAAAACTTTCATCGTTCCTGATGAAGGAAGCTGACCGCTGCATGCGATACAACTATGTATCGAACCTCACCGCACCCTCCACATCGCAACGAACACGAGAAACGCCTCGCCCCGCCCCCAGACCGGAGGCTAAGAAGAAGACGGTGTACGTCGCCACCGAAGAAGCACCGCAGCGCAGATGCCTTTCGTGCCAGGAAGCCCACACCTTACCTAGCTGCCCAAAATTCAAGCAGCTAACGTATGATGACCGATGGGAGCTGGTGAAGAAGGAGGGCCTTTGTTTCAAATGCATCGTGGGCCGACACCGTCGATTGAACTGCCGACAGAAACTCTGCGGAATCAACGGATGCAAGCGACCGCATCACCGACTGTTGCACGCAGATGAGCGTGGAACGACGAACGACGTGGCTACGAGCGCGACCGACTCAAACACGGATGCGATGGAACCAGCCACCACCGAAACGACGACGGCTGCCACGACGACAAGCCGCGCCGTCAAATTGAAGATTTGCCCCGTGACAATCACGGGCAAACGTGGGAGCTGCGACACCTACGCGCTCTTCGACGAAGGCTCGACGGTCACCTTATTAGACGACGACCTGGCGCGACAGATCGGCGCCGACGGACCGACCGCACAGCTCAACGTCCGAGGAATAAATAAGAAGCAAAGTCACGTGCAGAGCCGTCGAGTGAAGATTGGAATAAAGGGAACGCGCAGTGACCAGATCTTCAAAATCAACGCTCGCACCATGGTGGGCCTGGACCTCACGCCGCAATCGATACCGGCGGAGGCGATGAAGCTACGACACCTAAGAGATCTCGACGAGCGAGAAGTCGTATATAAGAATGCGAAGCCTCGCATTTTGATCGGGACGGACAACTGGGAGCTCATAGTGACCCGCGAGCTACGGTCAGGAAAAACCAAGGAACCAGCTGCCTCCAAAACCGAACTCGGATGGGTAATCCACGGGACGGCGCCATCGAGATCGCTTCGCCGCACCGAGGATATCCTACATGTCGTCACGACCGAAGCATCAGACGACCGACTCGAAGAACTCGTGTCGAGACACTTCCGGATCGACTCACTCGGAGTGTCGCTCGACGCATCACACGTCCGCGAAGAGGACAAGCGTGCCGTCTCCACGTTCGAACGCACCGTGAAGCACAAGGACGGCAGATACGAAGTGGGCCTGCCTTGGCGAAACGACGACGCCAAACTGCCACGGAGTTACGACTCAGCACTCCGCCGGCTCACCAATCTAGAGAACAAGTTGAGAAAAGATCCACGCGACAGGGAAGAATACCAGCGGAGGATCGACAACCTACTAGAAAAAGGATACGCCGAACCCTGCGACGGCTCCGAGGACGCAAGCCCCGTCGCATGGTACCTGCCGCATTTCGCCGTCAAGAATCCCAATAAGCCCGGGAAGCTGCGACTGGTTTTCGACGCAGCAGCAAGAATTCGAGGTGTCAGCCTGAACGATCACCTACTCGAAGGGCCGGATCTGCTACGATCGCTGCAGACCATTTTATTCCGGTTCCGAGAGGGCGCATACGCGGTGACAGCTGACATCGAGGAAATGTTCCTGCGAATCAAGATACGCCGCGAGGACCAACCCGCACAGATGTTCCTGTGGCGCGACTGCAGGCAGAATGAACCACCGCGCAAGCTGAAGATGACATCGATGATCTTCGGCGCATCGAGCTCACCGTTCCTCGCACACAGCGTGAGGGACTACAACGCGAGACAGCATGCTGAGACGCACCCTGCAGCACTGCGCGCAATCACCGAAGCGCACTACATGGATGACTTCGTCGACAGCTTCAATGATCCGAGAGAGGCCCACGAAGTCATCACCCAAGTCGACGCAGTGCACCAGAAGGCTGGATTCCACCTGAGGGGATGGAACAGCAACAACAGGAAGCTACTACAAGCCGTGAACCCGGATAGTAGAGCCAAAGGCGGGACGACGACGTTTGGAGACACAGAGAAGACATTGGGCCTGCTTTGGGATGCGAGTACCGATCGGCTGGGCTTCAATACCGCCCTGCCTAGAGTCCCACTGCCAGTGAAGTCTCGACAACGCCCGCCGACGAAAAGAGAAGCATTATCGACGGTGATGAGCATATACGATCCGCTCGGATTGCTCAGCTGCTTCACAATCACAGCGAAGATAACTCTTCAAAAACTATGGCGCCTCAAGACCGGCTGGGACGACCCTCTACCATCCGACTTGAGCGAGGACTTCGATGCATGGTTGACAAGCCTGCCAGCAATCGACCAACTACGGCTACCCCGTAGTTACAACGGGGGGAGAGAAGTGCGTCGCCGTGAGCTTCATGTATTTTGCGACGCCAGCGAAGAA